TTTTTGTTTTTTGCGCCTTTCCCCTGTTTTCTCCATATTTTTTTTTTTTTTAAAAAATACCAAAAAAAATGAAGGGGAGACGGGGGTCTTTTTTTTAATCTTTTTTTTCTCGGAAGGGTGTTGGGGACCCAAAAAAAGGAAAGGAAGGGGCTTTGGGGGGGGGGGGGGGGGGAGGCAAAAAACGGGGTCAAATAGGAAAAAAACGGCGGTGTTTTTTTTCCCCTTTTTCCCCCGATGAGGAGCCTGGTACCAGGCTAATTATAAGTTGTCTTCCGCTTCCACCCTGTGTCACACCCAGGAAGCTCCTGAAGGTCTGGAAATAGTTGCTTTTGTTTTTACCAAATCAGTGAATAGCAATTTTCGCGCGTTTTGATTGGCTCCCTTAACTCGGAATATCCTTGGAGATTCACTGTTTTGCGACCTGAGCCAAGATCATAGTGGCGTCTCGTTTCAAGACATTTTCGGAAAACGTAATTTGAGCGATAAATGAAGCAGTCGTACAAAGAAATACCAGAAAAGCAACGAACTTTGGTTTGTCGGTGTTTACTGGTAGGTAGAAAATTATGTTCATGCTGAATTTACAACAAAAGTCCTAAAACTTACTTGACAAAATCCCCGAAATGTTTGTAAATTGTAAACAAAGTTCCTACTAAGTGACGTTTTTAATTTACAAAAAGTTATTTTCTTTATTTTTATTCAACTGATTTCATGATTTAGTAAATACTAAAACAACTATCCCCCAGGGTCGGTGAACAGCGCTAGATATATACCTCGACGCTTCGAATCAGGGAATAGTTATTTTTCAAATCTTGGGGCATCAATCCAGGACTATCAGATGATACTATATCTTCCCACTATGCCAATTCTTTAATTTTACTCTTTTTGTCATTTTTTTTTGTATTATTTTCTAGATTCTTGAACACACAGAGGGCGACTGCCCATTGATCACTGTTTCTTGTCCTTTTGTTGTAATGGGCTGTGACGTAAAGGTAGTTTATTGTGTGGTTTTAAAAACTGCATTTTTTTATAAACCTATAACAAACTGCAAAATTTATGTAAAAAGTGTTCAAGGAACCCAGTTATAACGTTTTTTTAATGCAAACAAACGCATTTTGTGATTCTAGTCACCTCTTGCATGAAAAAAATTCTTGGGTTGGCACCTGATTGAAATCTTTAAACGAAGATTTGATCGACGCAGTTGTGATAGCCGTTAAAGCAATTGCAAATGAACCCAAAAAAAAAATTCGGGGCTTCAACAGGATCCAAACCCATGCCCTCTGCGTTTGCGCTACAGTACTCCTACACATTGGGATCAGGCTGATTTGTCATTGTCAATCGAAAGTGATCGAGGAGTGACGTAGGAAGTATGTATTAACGGTGTGTGTGATTAGTGAGTTGAGGGGTTGTTAAGGCTGCTCTGATGTCACCCCATGTAAAGGAATCCAAGACAGTCTTGGATCCTGGATTCCACGCCGTGGATTCCGGATTCCAGGTACTGGATTCCTGACTTAGTCAGTGAAACTTGGATTTCGGATTCCAATCGTTAGTGGGATTCTGGATTTCTTAAACTTTGTTCCGGATTCCGAGTCCGAGGATTCCGGATTCCACCAGCAAAAATAGTCAGAATTTAGATCGTGGATTCTAATCTTCAGTGGGATTCCAAATTTCTTGAGCTGTATTCTGGATTCCAAAGCCCAGGATTCCGGATCCCACAAGCAAAATTTTGAAAGTTTTTCATTCCGGACGCGCCACTAGCGAAAATTTCTCGGATTCCTCACATCCTAGTTCCCTCACATGGGTATCTATCTTGTAGATAGCGCAGTTGGTTTCCATGGCACCTTTTTGCTGGATATAGTGATTTATAAGGTAGATAGCGCTACCTACCTTTTGAGCAACCTAGGTCTGTTCGTTGTTGTTACATTGTTTGTCCGTAGTGTTTTAAATTTTTAATCGTTTTAGATCCTGAGGAATGAGGTTGAATCACATCTTCAATCATCCTCCAGCCGTCACCTTGAACTTGCTTGTGTCAAGTTACATAACACTCAGGAAGAGTTTAGAGAGAAGACCAAAGAACTTGAAGGGAAAATGGACTCGCTTTGTAGGCTACACGATGGAAGGATTTCTACCTTGGAAAATCAGCTAAAGGAATTCAAGAAAGTGAATGATTTCCTTGTTGATAAAGTGGCTGCTCAAGCGAAGCAAATATCAGCATTGTATCTAAAACCACCACAATTGTCATGGCGGATAAATGACGTCGAAAAAGTCCTGAGTCAAGCGCGCGAGAAAAAAAGCACGGTTTTAGAGAGCTCGCCTTTCTATTCAGCAAATAACGCGGGCTACAAACTGAAATTGTGTGTTTATCCCAACGGCGATGTTACAAACAAACATAATTATCTCTCAGTATTCCTAGTTATAATGGAAGGTGAATATGATGCTTTATTGCCTTGGCCTTTCCATCAAAGGATAACTTTCATCCTTGTTGACCAGAAAAAAAGATCAGACGAAAAAAAGAATATCGTGATGGAATCAACCACGGATCCCTCTCTCTCGAGTTGCGCAAAGCCTGCAGCAGGAAAAGTGGTTAAACCCAGTATTGGGTTTGCCAGGTTTGTGACGCACAAAAACCTCAAGACACGGGGATATATTGTAAACGATTCGTTGCAGCTTCAAGTCGAGGTACATCCACCAAATTAATGGAACCCTATCGGCACTCATCTCAACTCAAATACGTCACAGAAGAGTTAACGAGCAGTTTAAAACTGATTTATTTTCCGGTAATTGACCTAACAAGGCTTACAAACAGAAATTATTGCAATTTTGGTGTTATATTGTTTCTTAGGCATCTGCAATAAAGAACTTAATGTGTTCTATGGTTTCTTCCTTTCATTGGAAGCTAAGGGGGGACAGCTCACAGCCCTATGTTTTTCGTATTTTTTCCCATTGTCAAAGGAATCGCAACTTCAACAGTGCTTGACAATTTAACGAAAGAGGCGTCTTTTCCCTGGTATTTGGATGGCGGGAAGACCCCGCATTTCTTCTGTACATTTTTGATAGTAGTTTCCATCAAATATTTTTACCCAAACTTATGAAAACAGTTCGCTAGTAAGTTTTTGCGACTGTGTTCAATCCCGGACATAAGTGGATTGCTTGATATGATCCCATTATTTCGAGACGATTTCTATCGAGACTGTTTCCTTACCTTGAGAAGACGGTGAGTCAGAGTGACTACTGAAGCCCGAGACTGAAGTGATCCAGCTGAACTGTCAATACCGGATTGGTGCAATAACCACTAACTCGGCTACGGCATAACTCATGATGCGATTTATACAAGCGGCAAACAACTATCTAAATTTCAAGCCTTCCACCCTCAAATAGAACAACTCTGTATTAACCTAGGAGGGGAAAGAACGAGTACATTTCACATTACATGCAATAATGTTGAAAACCTAAAGAAATATTGCTAATGCAGTTGTCGATGGAAGGGCTGCCACCCTCGTCTTCAATTTAGACCAGAGCAAAGCCCCTAGGGCCGTGACAATTTTTGGATCAATTGACGTTTTTGGGTAAGTGACCACGTACCCCTCCCCTAAGTCACAATTTTGCCCTAAGCGAGAAGTAAGTGTTAATGTTGACTTAGGGGAGGAGTGTGTGGGCAGTTACGCAGAAACCTCAATTGATTCCAATTTTTTATCCTGAGCGAGCCCCCCTTAATCAAAGTCTGGATGAGCGCTCCACGGCATACCCCATTTAAATCTCCGCTACTTGTAGGGTTAGTCCATTTATATCCCTACCTACGCTTTTTTGTCAGTTCATTTCTACCCGAATGCGATCAATGAGTCATTGTATCGCAATAAGCTCCTAGCTGCATTTCAGTTTTGGTTCGAGGCGGAAAATTTGGGAAGGTTTCGAACTGATCAAGAGGTAGAGGGAATTACAAACTTTGAGCCCAACCTGAAAATAGCCTGCCCAGCAAGCGTTTCCAATGGATTAAACTTTTTCGCACGAACTCGTGCGGAAACACTTGTTACGCAGGGTAACTCGTAGAGAGGGTTTATTAATAAAGCTTTCAATCAGGATATGAGCTTCACAGCCTGTGAGTAAGCTCGCCTTCTCGGCTCTTCTCGCTTGGCCTAGGAAATCTAACGCTGAGCGAGCTTACGTGTGAACGGGGACTTCACTTCAGACTGCCTAAGACATTTGACCGCTCACTGTTAAACCGTGCACAACTACACTCATAAATGGAGCAAATTATCTTTCTGGAGACAACAACCGGTGACAAAATATCTTGTTCAAACAAAAATTTTACTTTTATTCTTTTTGACTGCAGTATTCAAAGTAAATTGACAGACACGAGGTTTGCTCTTTATGTTATTCAAAAAGAAAAAAATACATCACAAAAGCGCAGTGTCTAAGTGAAATAATCTGGCCACTGTTCTGGTATTGCGATACAAAACTTATGATTTGTCGACCAAATTTCGTAACACTTTTCAAACTATTCCAAGCAATCAATTTCTAGCAAAGTAATCGTCACCTCGCCGCACCATTTTCTACTCGTTACGCATAGGCGTCTCCTAATAGCAACATCGTCCATGGCCTTTCTTTAAAAGGGCCAGGAAATGGAGATTTCCTGGAATTAACAAGGTTGGGCGACAACGTGTGGATAGGTCGAAGCAATCACTTTGGTTTTCGCTTCAAAACATTTTATTGAAAACCACTCTACCGCTTTCCTTATCGGCCCCGAGCAGTGGTCCAAACTTTTTACGCTACAACTACATGTGAAAGTATATGTGTCTTGCTACTGCCGTGCAGATCTCAATTCGAAAATTATAATTCTTGAAATGTTCAATGTTCATTAACTTAACCAGCTGATTTGTGAGGTTTCACTAGAGGATAGTAGATGTAAAAAGTACGGAGAAAAAATTTTCATTTCGTCAATAAGATGAAAGTGAAACAAAAGCAGTAAACGACTTGAATGTCACTGAATAACCTAAGTCTAGTTGCTAATCTGGAGAAGTACACTGAACTTTAAGAAATAGTGTGTCATCTACAATGTAACGCCTACTTCGGAGTTGCTCGTGAGAAATAAAGCGACAAAATCCCCATTCATCGTTACAATCTTGCACTGGCCGAGCAAAACTAGCATTTGCAGGATTCGGGGTAAAAAACATAGCAAAATTATTCGCATTCAGTTCATTTTCTTGCTGATCAATAAGTGTAAATGTCACTGTTTTCGTAAATGGCCAAGGTAATATTGCATCATACTTCCCTTTCAGTAGACAAATATAAACTGAAAAATGAGTGTTCTTCCCGTCACCGTACCCATTGGGGTAAATAGATACGCATAACTTGTATCCTACGGGTCCGGTAAAAAAGGGGCTACTTTCTACATCAGTGTTTATTCCTTTCTTTGCTGACTTAAACAGACGGTTAAATCCACTGATCTTCCAAACAAAAGGGGGTGGTTCCTCCTTTAATTTCAAAACTTCCCTATTTAGCTTTACACTTAAATCTTTCATTGACTGTTGTTGAAAATTCCACTTTTCTTCGACTTGCTTTTCCAGGGCATCAATTTTAGCTTCAAGTCTTTTGGTTACTTCTTGGAACTCTTCGTTGTTTTTATTTAGCTTCACACAAGCAAGGTCAAGATGAACTTTGGCGGCAGACTCCAAATGGAAATCAACCTTTCCTCTTTGAACCTATATTCAGAAACAAAAAATCAGGACACTGTAATAAATCACAAAAGAAAATTGAATTGGCCGGAGCACAAGAGAGATAGAAAGAAAAAAAGGAGTGGGCGTGGGTTGTTGAGGCCTCAAATGATCCTTAATGTAATAATCTAATGTGTTTCAAATGATCCTTAATGTAATAAAGGTCCTAAGTGTAATAAGTTTTGGCTCTAAATGTAATAAAACTCCTAACAGTAGTAGAATAACTGTTGACTGTAAACTTGATGAAGACGCAGTGACTGAAACATGCAACGGTCTGATAGGATGTCATAGCCAGGCGATTCACTTTCTACGCCATATTGAAGTCTTTATAGACATTTAACATTTTCGCATTGCCCACAACGCACCGCGTGTTTACCTTCAAATATTTTGCATAATCATTGTTTCCAGTTGTTCATGGGTTTTTCAGGTTTTCCAAGGGAAACTAAAAATATTGGGAAAAGGAGGAAAACTAACCACTCAAGAAGTAGTGTGAAACACTCTACTCATTGTGGAAGTCATATTGGTGGAAGTCAGACACCAAGTAGATCTGTTGGACCTTGGAAAGCGTGGAGGGATTAAATTTCAGATGAAGGATTGATAATCATTATGCATTGTTCGTCATGAATGTTTTCACTAGGTCATGTTCATTTGTCTTTGACGTGTGTAAAGGAGTTAAAGGATTATACATAGAAAATGGACAAATGGACCCACTCTTGTACTGCAAAGTGACCAAGGTTCTGAATTTAAAGGAGCTCAGAAAGGACGTTTTCGTAAATTTCGAGTAATACAGCCGGTCGCCCACACCATCCCAAGTCTCCAGGATAATAGAAGTCATTGCGCTCTATGTTCGTGCTCTAAGTTCCAAGATGGAGTACGATTCTTTAAAACTGGCGGGAAGAAAGATCTTTATTAGGCGAAAGTACTGTCTGAAAACCAAACGAGGAACCAAAAAAAAGTGCTAAACTACAAATCTCCATTTGAAGTGTATTTTGCACACGCAACCTAATTACCATACTATCCATGCTTTTACACATTTAGAACCTTTATTACATTTAGGGACATTTATTACTTTTAAGGCCTCAAAAGGTCGGCCAGGGTTTTTGGGTATACAGTATGTTGGATTATTTAATTTCAGGTATACAGTAATTTTATGATGAAAAATTGGGTATAACGTATTCACTCATGACAAATTTTGGGTACAAAGTATACCGAGGTTTTCTTAATTTTGGTATTTTAAACGAGTTTTGTATAATATTTTGGTATTTTAAACGAGTTTTGTATAATATTTTGGTATATTGGAAGATTTATTTCGGGTATTTTGGTATTCCACTAACCACCCCCCCCCCCCCCCCCCCCCCCCCCCCCCCCCCCCCCGCGCCCTCCCCTGCGCAAGGACCACGACCTCCGCAACACAAAATGTAAAACCCCGCACTTCGCCCCACCACAATCACTACGAAGTTAACAGTTTTCCGGTTTTTTGTTTTATTTGGTTGTTTAAAATGGTTTTGTTAAAATTTTTTTTTTTTTAAACGTGTTTTTTTTAATTTTTTGTGATATTGGAAGATTTTTTTCGGGTTTTTTGTGTTTCCCCTCACCCCCCCCCCCCCCCCCCGCCCCCCTCTGGCCGACCCTGAAGTGTGTTTGTTTGAGAAAGGTACAGAACATGCTAAAATATAAAGTATATACCTCGACATTGCAGCCAATGTAATAGTAAGGGCACTGGATTACTGTTCGTGGACAGTTGTTTTGAATATGATCAGGCAGCTGAAACGGAAGGCCGAACCTCGTTTCACTCATAGTACTAGAGACCTTTAGATTCAAGGACGAGAACGACTACGAGTACGAGATTTGACTTAAAGTTTTTTCGCCTATTCTACAAATATAGACTCCCCGGAAAGCTTCATTTTACCATTTTTCACTAGAAAAGTTAGCACTGTTACCTTTAGTGAAGAAGGTTGCACCCTCTCCTGATCGCAAAATGATAAAACTTCTAACATTTCATAACCTGTTTCCGCTACTTCGACATTCTCGCTAAAACTCGTAGTAGAGTGACGACGGCTACCACGTTTTCGCGCCAAAATGACGCTGCCTCACTCGCGAGCACCACTTAGTATTGAGAAAATCTCGTACTCTTTAGCCGTACTCGTCTTGGAATCTAAAGCTCTCTAGTGTGCACACTTTGACAAGCATCTCGATCCGCTTTCCCGCGCAACCTCAAAGTGGCGAATGCAGACACGAGCCCATTAGTATATCTCAAACTTCCCCTATACTTTCTAACCATTGTCGAACTACTTGTATTGATGATTCGGTCAAAATTGTACGTGAATTTAAAACTAGTGGGCTACGAGATAGAATCATCTGCATCGGGATGAAACAGTATGAACTTAATCAACGGGTTCTTATGAAAATACCAACATTCAGACACCTCTGTATAAATTATGCAAACACTTGACTGAGTCCATCCCTTGGTTGTCCGTACTGACGAGGTCCCACTGCCATGATTTCCAGCTCAAAAAGGTTTATCAACATGTAGCATCGCTGCCCAAGAATGGATGGCGAAAACATATATACAGACAGGATATTCGGGTTATTCTCCGGGCTAGGTTATCAAATCCTTAGAATTATACCGTCGGTAACAAAGGGAGTGGGTTACATAGATAGCACACGCTAAAGCATTAATATAAGTGACATACATGTACCACAATGTTGGACCACATGCAGTACAAGTAAGCAAAACGATGGGTTTTTGTTGGACAGACAAAATTCCAAAGCTGGAATAATTAAGTAAAGACTCGGGTAAGACGGAAAGCAATTTTTTTTTATGGTGCAATACGCTTTCCTCACATAGGAATGTTTTCATTTTCAAACAAAGAATGCATAAACCAACAAAAAGGCAGTTTACGAAATAAAATGTATTTAAAATCAATTTTTAAAGAGTGTTTTTTGCCGACAAAAGTATACAATTTCACGTACTTCTGTGTTACTTGGACTCAGACAAGATTTTGTTATAAGGAAGATGGTTAGAAAACTAAGGATTAATGTACAAGCTGCTTTGCGAAGACTTCATAAAATTTATTGTTTAAACTTTTTTTCCATTCCGACGTGTTCATTGCGGTTGGTGCTTTCCTTCTTATCAGGACCATTACTTAAAACTTCACCATCAATAGTCACTAAAATTGACCAATATTCAAGTAGGAGAGAGTTATAGTGTAATTCACCTCTTCTTGTTGCATCTCCAGTTCACAGTCAGAACATTGCACAGGGAACTTTTTACAGTTCTTGATATGCAGCTACATGTGGCAAAAAAGATTTAACAAAAACTGTCAGATTAGCACTTCACAGGATATGTACAGACATCGTAGAATTGGCATGAATTAGATGGTCACTGTTAGTTGAAAAGCAAATAATAATATCACGTGCGGGCGGGCAGATGTACGGGTATATGACTAACAAAATTTTCTTGGATTGAATTTTACTTGTAGTATTAAGATCCATAAGCTCCACTATAATATGTCACTTGATTGCTTATTAGGGAGGGTAATCATCACGTTTACGTCAAATGTCAAACGTGAATTTGTACCACGTGTCCCTTTACTTGTCGTTTACTGTTCATTATTTCTACTCATAAATAAAAATATTTTCCATAAGAATTGTTTAAGCTATTATTATCTGTTCATTTTCTATTTTCAGAAATTCTCAACTGGAATCTGGCGTTTGCCATTTGCCGTATACGTGAAGCTTTAAGCTGTACTATAAAGTTGAACTGTAAAAATTTCCAGCTATAGGCTCTCTGAGCGGACAACATAGCAAAATCTTTGCGGGCTATATAAAAAAATCACTATAAGACAGGTCCCAAGAGAAAAAGTTAATTTTTTCCTCGAATCTCACTGAGATTGGACCTGTTTATTAGTTTAACCCATTCGCCCTAGTGGCGCTTGTGATGTCATCACCTTTAACGGTCAAAGACAACTTTGATATCTAATGCGTGCAAAGGGAAGAGATCTTTCAAACCAAACCTAAATAAACACGATTCAGTCAAACCGTACAGCCCGGAGAAAAATCGCAAAAAAGCCATGTAAAATTGACCCATAAATTTCAATGAAAATTTTGTTCCACTACCCATCTGCACTTCTTTCCATCTAATGCTACGGTCCTAAACGTTTTCCCCACAACGTTTTTCACGGAAATGAAGCCTAGTAATGCCCAGCTAATGAAAAATAGAGGAGGAGACAAAGTGAAATTGTGGTTTTTGGGAATGCCCCAAATTTGAAAAGGTGGTGTTTAAAATCAGGAACAGAAAGTTGAGTAGAGACTTTCCTCCCCTCAGGAAAAATCAAAAATCGGAGAGGGGAGGGAGAGGTCTGTACAGAGGCTAACAAAAAGCCGTGAAGTGCTTAACTAATGAAACAATGTCACAGGCAGTTTTTGTTCACTTTGGCCATACAGAGACCATAAAACATCTTGACTATAAGCTTCCAAAGACGTTTATCAGCAAAATTTCCAGGAGTGAATGGCTTAATTAATTATGACAGGGGATTTGTATTTTAATCACAGGTAAATAATGACTTTGTTGTAGCAGGCTAGTAGTGATCCACAGTCCTAGTGGAAGAACTAGCAGTTAAGTAGCAGGTAGTGGTAGTGGTAAAGGTAGTGATACTGATTAGTAGTGGTAGTGGCAATATATATTGTAGCAGTAGTGATAGCAGTAGTGGTGTGATTGGCAGTGGCAGATTTAATGGTGGTGGTAATTAATGATCAGTTGTAGTAGTGGGCACCTGTATAAAGCTCTTTTGTTTTGCATTTGACCGAGTGTAAAGAATAACTTATTGAAGAATCAGTTTGTTTACATAGGTGGCGGAAGCCCCCAACTTTGGAGAGTAACAAGTAACTTTCTTTTATTTTACCACGGTCAACCCATTAGGACTAAAAAACAGAGCCCCCCACTTTATATTTTAATGCTCCGACACCGCCGCTGGTTTAATTACCTCCATTTGACATTCTGGATAGAGTTCATGGCAGTGATCACAATCCACAGTCCTCCACTGACATTTCTTGGTTGCATGTTCTTCAAGATCTTTCCTTGATACTTTCATTTCACAGTTTTCATTAGAACAGGAAATGAGCTTGAAATTGCATGAAGCCAAGTGAATCTGGAAAAAGATATGAGGCACATATTTTAATATGCCCACAGGTGTGGACATACCTTTCATATTATTGGAACTAGTTGCAACATGAATAGCATCAGTGCATTCTAAGCTCTCACATATATTTTATTTAATGTATTGCGTGTCTAATGCTGGTTTCTAAAAGAGCTAGTTGACAATGGGCTGTCAGACCCCTAATGCAGATCCCCCCAAGAGAATGTTTTTTTAGTTGGCCGGGCTACTTTCAACTACCTACGGAGAGAAAGTTCTGTACCTGCCCAGTTTTAAGATCTTAAAGTACATAGTTGATTGTCTAAGGCTATAAATTCCACTCACCTCTTTGTTTCTCAGTTCACCCATCCAGCTACAACCTTCACTTGGACACTTGATTACCAAGGAAAGAATCTTCCGTTCTGTAGCTTTGTCACCAAAAACATCCTACAAGTGAAACAGTGCAGACTAAAGGGTCCATACAGTTTTTTAAATGTTGGATTCAAGACTTATTCTAAAACAATACTTTCTTTTTCCAGGTGCATGGTTATCAAATAAGCAGTATCAATAATAAATTGATAGAAACCATAACAAATGCAGAAAACTAAGTGTTTCCTCAGACCATGTACAGTGCAATGCGGAAAAAAGAGAGTTGTCAAAGTTCTCATTTCACAATTGAATGTTATATGGCTACAGATGAGATTAAATAAGTTTTAAACACCAGAAAAAAATTCCTCTGAGCAATTAGCACTTCTGGAAGTTTCAAAAGAAAAATACATGCAGACTACTACAGAGACTACTATTTTCTCTGCTGCTGAAAATACTCTTCCTTTAAAAACAGATTTTAAATGCACCAACACAGATGAAGCACAGCGCAGGTCACCTACCTTATCTCGTATCAGGGTGTTTCGGTCCACAGGACAATATAACGATTCATTGTTGACCTCCAATCTGTGCAGTCAATAATTGAATACAGAGTATAATCACTCATGTAAACAAATATGAGACTTCATTGCATTTTAAGACAGAATCCACCAGGAAATTGAGTAATTTTAATTCTCAGTGGACAAAAACCTTATGCCAAAATAATCTAAAGTATGTTACATTCTTGTTTACATTTTTCAAGGGCTAAAGATGTTATTACCCATTTGAAATAACACCAAAGAAAATCTCTTATGGGAGCCCGAGAAAATGAATGTCAAATTTCACAAAATTACATCTTACACATGAAAGTTCCAAAATTTTATCTGTGTATTCAGAATTCTTCTGAAATTTGACATTCATTTTCTTGGACTCCCATTACAGAGTTTCTTTGGTGTTATTACAGATGTCTTATTACATCTTTAGCCCTTGAAAAAAGTAAAAAAGAACGCAATATTCTTTAAATTATTCTGGTACAAGGTTTTACCGACGACTATTATTACATCTTTAGCCCTTTAAAAAAGTAAAAAAGAACGCAATATTCTTTAAATTATTCTGGTACAAGGTTTTTGTCCACTGAGAATCAAAAATACTCAGTTTCCTGGTGGATTCTGTCTTAACTTCCCAGAAGACCTCCGTGTAGAAGACTCGATAGTTCCCCAAGAGAAAGATTCATTCAAATATGCTGATGTTTGCATTCCCCTGTAGGTGTCTTGGTTTAAGTAGGGATTCATGGAATTTGCAGTATATACCAGCTGTGCAGTGTCATCATCATTAGTATAACCATGAACCAAACTTGTTTAATTTGTGATTGTTTAAAAAAATTAACACATTCAATTACTGTAAAATTCTCAAAATAAGCCCTGGGGCTTATATTTTTTAAAGGCCCTTTTTGAGGGGCTTATTTTTTGAGGGGCTTGTATTCAGAGGGGCTTCTGCACGGAGGCAATTGTGTGTTTCAAAATCGATTGGGCTTATTACTAAGCTTATAGCTGAAAGGAACTTTACCATTTTTGCTTTGGTTTATTTGTATTTCAGGGCAATTTCCAAACACAACCCCCCCGGGGGGGGGGGGGGGGCTTTTACCCAGGGGGGGGTTTTTTTGGGGGGGTTTTTTCCGTTACAAGTTTGGGGGCCCTTTTTTGGGGGGGCTTTTAACTGGTGGGGCGTTTTTTGGGGATTTTTGGGGTTAATTTTTTTAACCCCCCCAATATTTTCCATAAAATTGGGTAGGGCATTAAACCAAATGTTTTTATTAGGGGGGGGGGGAGGGCTTATACTCAGAGGGGCGTTTTTTTGGAGGGTTTTTTTCCGTTACAAGTTTGGGGGCTCTTATTTGGAGGGGCTTATACATGCTGGGGCTTATTTTGGGAATTTTACGGTATAATTGTATTAACCCACTCAATATATTCCATAAAATTGGTCAGGCCATCAACCCAAATGTTTGCATTTTCGAAAAATAATAGAAATAATTCCTTCAATTAATTCTCGTTATCTCAAAAATAAGCATTGTAACAACATTTCATAACAACATATAGTAGCGTTGGCAGTGTATCTTTTGATTGTACTATGACAATCGACCACAAGTATCACATTTCCGCCATTTGCTTTTATGTCTTCTTGTTTCACAGCTCCACAGTAATCATGCTAGGGTACCGGGCCTCAAGCTAAGGGATGGCCGTATTCATACATGTAAGTGTCCTATCCAGCAAGGCTTCATATTTCATTGAATTGATGTATCATGCGCCGGCTTTGTCCTCACAGGGATTCCCCTTTGCTAAAATGAATTCTCAGGCTCGAAAATTCCGCACGGAATTTTTTGGGGGTTAATATTTGGTCCAGGTGTTTCAGTGTGGTTTTGTTCGAAGCCCTGGGGATTTTGAGTTTTGCCTCCATTGGATTATCCCCGTCACTAATGACACCGCATGATCACCTACAAGCGCACGGGGCAAGCGCACCAGAGGGAAATCAAAATAAACTTAAATGGTTGCAGGTGACAAAATTTACTCTGTTTCAATACAATAATAGCTAATAATTTTGATCAAATTAGGGTACTAGCTGGTATTTAATACTCAGAAATTGCTTACCTTTTGAAGTGTTCATCAAGACACTTCTTGCAACATCTGTGGCCACATTTAGTCAGCATTGGATCCTTCAAAGGTAGATGACAGATTGTACACTGTAAATCGTCTTCGACGGCATTTATAAATTCTTCATCGTACCCACCAAACGACAGTCCGACTTCTTGAGCTTCTGATTCCGCCATATTTATAATATAAAAAACATCACACGTGCTTTTTTCATGAGACGAAGATACCAGAGGACACCTGAGGATCACGGTGATTCGCGAGCGATCTGTGGGGGGGAATCATGTGACCGCTGGATGTCAATCATTCTCTCCTCACGCAAAATTTTAATCAAAGAAACTTCACCCAACATCTTAGACATCTTAGGCCTGGTTCAGACGCCCTACTTTTCATGTGTCGAACGTAACTGAATAAGTTCGACTTTGGAGCGACACTGGCGCGACATCTTATTCAGACGGCGTACCGTGTGTCGAACCTAAGTTAAGTTCGACAAAAGTTCGACAGACTGTCGAACTTATCGCTCTTGCCGCACCAAACTAAAACTGCCGTACCAAATTGATTCAGACGCCGCTCTTTTGCCGTACTTAATTCATCAGTTAGGTTCGGCACATGAGTGGAGCGGCGTCTGAACCGGGCCTTACTGGTATGTCTGGTATGTGAAGGGCGGCCAGGACTAGACCATGGGTTATCGCCCAGGTTTTCTTCCAGCCTGTCGGCACTGGCAGGGGGCGGATCCAAAAAATTCAGAAAGCCGGTGGCCGGGAAACATGCCAGAATTCTATAAAAATAGTTTTCAAACTTCCAAAGAAAAAGGGTTGGCCACGGCCCCCCTCGGCCCACCCAAAATCCGCCCTTGGGCAGAGCCTTTCTGTCGCTCGCTCACTACTTGGAGACTCTGCTCTCTGAGTGGCTGGACCATCTCGTAGAGGAAAGAAACGGCTGTTGCAATGACATGTGACAAATCATATTAAATAAGCGTAGCAAATCTTGTTCAACTCCCGGGATAAACTGTACTCAAAAAGGTTTCTTCGCAACAAATAGGAAATTAAAGTTTCCTTCTCTGGATTCCTTCTCTGAAGTGTATGACTATACACTGGTATGCGCCGGAATAAATTGTAATTGACCGTAGTCATACAAACTACTGTTTCATTTATCTCTTGTTGTGTGTGTGTTTGAGAAAATAGGTGTCGTGTCTAATCCTCAAAAACGTGTCTTGTTTTATAGCAAACAACAGCTGAAACGGGTCTCATGAGTTTCAGTAACAAGTCTCCTTTCCGGCGGCCATGATTGAAAGTAGCTAAGGCTAGAGTCCGTTATCTCATAAGCGTTTCTCTTGCGTTTCCCGGAAACGATAAGTGAACCAAACACATCAACTTTTTCGAAGACAATTTATTGCAACCAGTCACATAATCTCCGAGTGAAAATACTAGAGCAAACAATAAATATCCGAAATTTGAAGAGGTCTTAGGCCAGGTTTATGCAGACGGGGAAATAGGTTCGTCAACGAAAAGGAAAGGGTGTTCCTCTCTGAGGGAGGCAGTCATGTGAATAAAAACGGAGCCTAGAACAATTCTCGGTTTTTATTATTCATCCAAAATATTTCTCCTTTTCTGATTGGCTCAAATCCTTGAAGCTAAATCTTTATAACCAGCTAGCGCTTACCAAATTTGGAAAAGGTTTTCAATATCCTGTTAAATGATGTCAATAGTACAGGATGTCGACAGAAAAAGGTACAGCAACCGAGAAGCATGGGGACCAGGTTACGTTAGGTCAGCTGCTTTGGTAAAGCAGGGGGTAACCGATAGAAAATTGAAGTTGTCTTCTCTGAATTACGTCCGCCATGTTCAACGGAAGCAGCGAATGACAGCATGCAGGATGGAAAATGCGTCGGCAAACGGAGGCAAACGCGGACACTAACATCAAGCGCGCGTTGAACATTGCGCATTGACGAGAAAAAGTCTAGTACCCAGGCCATCCGCTTTCCTCGATTTCCCGAGCGACTACACAGCAGGGCCCAGTTGTTCGAAGGCTGATTAGCGCAAGGTTAGCGCTGCCCCAGGGTTAAATTTTAACCGGGTCCCTTTTTCTTTTCATCAAAAGCATTTTCTCGGACAATTTTCTCTATTCTTTTTAGAATAGCCAATCATCAAATTGTTGACAAAACGAATTAAACTGAATTTGCTTTTTAAGCTTTCATATCTGAATTCAATTTTCGAACTAACCCTGGGTTATCCTAACCCAGCTTTGAACAACTCGGCCCTGAAGTAGTGAGCCTGCCCGCAGCCTAATTCATTTCCATTTCCAGTGGTACTGAGAAGAAGAATTATATGACACTTGGTTTTCCTTTATTCTCATGACTTTGGTTTGATAAAAGTCAGTATAAATTTGAGGAACCCAGGCTACAGAGGCAGCCATCAATCTTAGCAGGGGTCTCAGGGTGCCCAGTGTGAGGTGGGAGGAGCCGGGGGGGGGGGTACTCCTTGCGGCTTCCAGAAGTTTTGAAAGCATTTGTTGCAAAGAGGATTTTGTGCGCGTTCCCCTCTTCCCCTTCCCCTTCCCCTTTGAAAGACTATCATGTTACACAAAAGGCATCAAGGAGTTTCGTAGCGAATTGACATTCTTTATTTATTCAACCATATTTATCCAGGAGCCCATATCCTCCCGACTTATCTGAATTCCACATCAGTTGTTTAATCAGCAAACAGACCAAATAGCTAGCGAGCTAATCCACGCAGGAAAGGGAAAAATGAACAAAACTTGATAAACACACGTTCTGGCAATTTACGATATGTAAATATCATAGTATTAAAGAAAATTAAATATTCAGAAGTCACAATAAATATAACTACGATTGCTACAAAGCGATAAGATAAAAGAGGATAACTAAGTAACAAGCTCCATATGACTATTTAAGTATTTATCTTTAGATCGATAAGTAAGTTTTGTTTGAAAGTGGCATGGTCGCCGTAATCGTCACTTCTGTCCAGGATTGCACTCTGCCCAAAAAATTTCCTAGCAAATCTTTTGTTCGCAATTTTGGCAAAACAAAGGCGAAAAGGAAACTCTGCTTGCAGAAATGTGTAGAAGCAATCGTTTATTACAAAGTAAACCGAAAAATTTGCAATTCAAAATACCGATACAATGAGGTTTCAGCAATGCACTGAAACAAAACATGAGCAAGTCTTATACATTGCTGTTGAACGCAGATCACAATTAGTACGCCGCAAATTTAAATACTCCACTAAAGTGTGTCATGTTACCTACGAACAGTTTATTTTAGTGTCTACGTCTATAAATTAATACTTCTACTAATTTTCTTTGTAATTCAAATAAACGGTAGTTGACTCAGGAAAACTTTACGCAAAAATCCAAAGACGGATTTGACCAAAATTTTCAATTAACATCTCCACTCTCTACAGCAATACAAATCCGTGTAGTTTTTGGATTTATTTCTCATGTTTAATTAAGAAATCGAAAAGACAGTTTTACATCTACAATTAAATTTCGCAATGCAATCGACAAGAATTGAACGCACCCTTGGCTAATTTTTGATAGATGAATTTTTGGGTGGTAGTATCAAAGCTTTGTAGAGTCACAAGAACGTTTGTCAAGGCGATGGTGGACTCACAACGACTTGAAGATACAACGTGTCATCCGCAATATATCGCCTACTCTTGAGTTTTTCATGCGACACAAACCTTGCGTAACCTCGACCTGGATTCTCATCTGAAGTAGGCCTGGAAAAATTCTCTAGTTTAGCGTTTGCTTTGAAGTGCATCACAATATTCTCGCGTTCTTCTGCGCTATCCTGTTGGTCTACAAGTATAAAAGTGACCTTCTGATTAAATGGCCAGTACAGCATGCCATCATAGTCTCCTTTCATAACGATTACAAATACAGATAAATGTGTGTTCTTTCCAGAACCATCGCCATTAGGATTTACAGACATTTTGAGTTTATATCCGTATGTCTCGGTGTAAAATGGCTTACTGTCAAGTTTGTTGTTTCTCCCATGTTTGGCCTGACGTAGAATTTCACTGAATCCACTAATCTTCCACACGTAAGTTGGAGAGTCATTCCGAGTTTTCGATATTGCTGAAACCTTGAGAAGCAGCGAGTCGTTTTCTTTCTTCAGTTCATCAAGCTGTTTACTGAGGCTTGTCTTTTCTTTATCAAACTCTTTATGAAGAGTAACAATCTTCTTGCACGCTAGGCTGAGATGTGAAACAGTTTGGTCATGAATATGTCTTTCTATGTCCCGCCTTTCCACCTTGGGAGAAAAAAAATTCACTTTTTATTGAGTTGTAGACTAAAAAATTAAGGGCTACTGTCACGAGAATCAGTTTCAGTTTTAGGTCAGTTCTGATCCTAATTTCGTCTTCCTGTGGCATTGCAGAAAATTTCCAGCTATCACGGGCGACTGCAAATTATCCGCCCCTATTAATTTTATCAGGAGCACCTCGGCTGGGAAACTGGACTCCTTTCGACTCCATTTGGTTTCCGTTATTAGGCTGATTTAGCAACAGGACGGGAACGTCAGTTGAAGACGGAGCGCGCAAATCAAACAACTGGCTTGACCAATGGCAGTGCGGCAAATTGAGCACCGGAAGTCGTGTTTAGTCCTTTCCGCGCGCTTTCCCGTCGTCAACTGACGTTCCCGCCCTGTTGCTAAATCAGCCTATTTTTCCGTAAGTGACGAACGAGGATCCCTAATCAATGATTACCTCTGGTACTTAGTGCCTTACCTCATCCACAGAATACTAATGTAGAGTTAAAAAGAAGATACCACACAAATTTTTCAGGCATGATAGTATTAAAACTTGAAGAAGTTAAACAAACTATTTCAAGTTTCAATCCACGTCCATCCTTGTCATCCATTACAACAGAAGACAGGAAACAGTTTCAATGCCTAAACACAGTTTCAAAGAACAGAACTAGATCCTTATGTTTAGAATTCAATTGATACGAAAAGCGTGTTAGCTTCTTTAAAAAAAGATGCAAATTGCGTGACAACGACCAGAGCTAAGCGAGACCTTGAACTCCATACAACTGGGCAAATAACCCAAAAATACCCGGCGCCTTTTGAAAGAATTTAGCAAACGGCCGAGCAGTCATATCATCTCCACATCTATTTCTTTGTTACGTTTTAAGAACAACAGGTTGGCGCGTTGGCGTGTTGCTTTTCAAGAGTGCACAGCTTCGCCATGCTTCGCAGAGGTGACAGGAAACTTCGAATCTCTTCAGTGTAAAACGAAACACTCTGCGAGCAGAGGTTTCTTTCCGGCATGGCTCATTTTTCGCTGAATCACAGGCTAGATAGCAGGCTGCGTGATAATCAACTCATGAAATATTTATGAGATGTGATTCACGCACAAAATTGTCGCCTGCAGGCCGGCTTTCTTGCGGAAGTGCACCAGCTTTAGTTACCACAAGAGTTGTGTGCATTTGGAGAAGCCACGAGACTGGCTACAGGCATTAAGATTTCATGTTGACAGCTGTTATAGCCTGTTCCAGTCTCCGAGATAGTCGGGCCCGCTGAATTGAGAAAGCGCGGAGACCAAAACAAAACGGGAGGAGCTGTTATAGAGTTATTGCCCACAAAGAGCTTGAAACACTGTCCGAAATAACAATAAGGACAAACAAAAAAATCAAAGTACTTACCTTGGCAGTGCAACCCAGTTCATGATAAGGACATGCGAGAGGTGTCAGAAGACAATCTGTTTCCAAATGGTGAGGCATCTGAATGTACATAGTATATTATGTTATTGAACCCTCAGTCCCGGGGAGGGGGGGTACTCTATAATGGAAGGCTCTACCCGAGAGGGGTATCTTTTTCACGCCTCATATGAAAGGGTAGAGATTTCACCTGTTGTAGTTTTTAAAAGTGTACAAAAATCTGTCATTTGGGTCTGTGAAAAGGCCCAGAAGGGCTGACGGATGAATTTTATGGCTTTATAAAGTCAAGAAAAAGTTATATTTTTGTTATTGATTCCTATTTAAAAGACAGAACATTTACAGCAGTTTAAAGGGATGCAACGTTCTAAACAAGGTACGAGAAAGGGCTACCATTTGTCAATACAAGGTATACGAAAGGGGTACCTTTTTCGTAAAAAATGGTATATAAAAGGGTAAGGGGTTGGACCTCCGGGTGGAGCCTCTCCGTATAAACATTTGTTGAGTACCACCCAGGTCGTCAGTCGCTTATTTCTTTCATAACTTTGTTATATGGCACAAGATGACATTACATGCTCAGTTTTAAATAAACTTAAAGGGAAGATCTCTACATTGAAGGTAAAACCTTTCACTTCCCACTCACTACAGACTTGATTACCAATCCTAAAGTTTTTGGAACTTTTAATCTTAGTTTGCACTTTTTAGATCGAGTTAATATTTGACAACAAAAAGGGAACTGTGTGCTGGCACAGTTAGCTAGTTAGCTAGTATACCTAAATGAACATGGTACAATGTACAACTTTGAGCATTTCCTGAAGTTGAAATCTTTATTTAAATTCAATTTAAAAACTTATGTGCCTTCTGCCAAATCTGCTCAGTGTTAAAATATTAATTTACAATAGAACTCCTGAATAGAACATTCCAGAAAACATCCATACTGACCTGCATCCTTGGAATAACCTGTGTACAGCCATTAATACAATTCAGAGGGTAGAAAGCACAGCTTTCATTGTGTGCCTGAAAAGATTCAGTGATAAAATAATAATATTATATAAAGAGAGGTTAGTGTACACCAAACAGAGGACAACCTTTTCAATGTTGGCAACAGGACTGGTAGTACTTACTGTGCTTAATGGCAAAATTAAGTTTACTAAGAAAGTGAACTAAAAAGGAAATCAAACTTCTTCCATCAATGTTTATGTAGCAAATTCTCTGAAAAAAGTTCTCTGAAATCTGCAAAAGATTGCACTCCTATCCCCTTAAAATTATACTAACTGAGTAGTGTTCTCCAAAGTTCAATGTTTTTTTGCTCAATTCAGAGCCTTATTTTCAATATTGGCAGTTTCAAGCAATGCCATTTTCTGCAGATATAAACCTGTCCATACAGTCACTCCTAATTGCTGAAGACTCCTTTATACATTATTTTTCACCAAAGCTCCATTGCTACTACATGAGTGGGTGTAGCAGTTATACCTCACAGCCAAGCAAATGCTAATTATTATTATACTATTGATATTGAAAAGATAATGGCAGTGGTAAAGATAATGGTTATTTTCATTACTAAATAATCCAAAGGCTGTACAAAATTGATCAAGTCAGAAGAAACCCATTACTTACAAGTTCCTGTGATTTTGGATGATTCTCACTGCAAAATGGACAGCAAACAATTCTCCAAGGACAGGAAGTCATCATATGTTCTTCTATCAGTCTTCTGGCTAGTTTAACAGTGCAGTTCTGACTTGGACACTCAACAACTTTGTCAGGACACCTCTCTTCGTGATTCTGAAGTATTAAAGATTTTAGAAATGAATACTTACAAAAGACTAGAGTATGGACAAAATAATGATGATGATTTGTCGTTGTTTTATCTACATGTTTGGAATATGTATTATAAGGTACGTTCAACTGATCATATAACGCAATGAAAATGCACAAAAGTTTTGTTGTAAATCTCTGGAACCGTGATTTTTGGGCCACTAAAATATGTCAAGATGTATATTTTTTTACCAAAAGAAAGGCACCTGGGCCAAAGTAAAACTTATGGAATTATGTACCTATCACTTTCAATGTTGGAAGCAGTCCGACTGGTAGTTGTGCTTTGGCAACATAAAGTTTACTACAAAAGTGAACTAAAGATGAAATCAAACTTCTTCCAATATTGATGATTTTTTGTTGTTTTACGTAAATGTTTGAGAATATGTGTTATAAGGTACGTTCAACTGATCTTGTTATATTCCTAGACTTTCAATCAACTAAACAGGGACTGCCATAGGTTGATTCTTGGTTGATTCACGTGGCCTTGACTAAAATCAAATTTATCCCGATCGTGATACATTAAGCAATGTACCCCACTAGGGACACATTACAGCACATGATCAAAGCATAGTGGAAAGTAGTATGACAGAAGGCAGCAAAAACACTGCCGGTTTTCTTTTTCGTGAATGAACACAACAACACAAACACAAAGCCTCAAGCCAAAAGCAATGATTTTTAAAGTTATCCCAGAAGAGAAACAGCAGGTAGTGGAGGAAAAAAAAGCAGATAATATAAGGAAAGTACTTTGTAAATCATTCACTCAGTGGTTTTGAGATTTAAATTTGTGTTGTTATAAGTACCAAGTCGACCGTTTTGGTTCGCTCTGGTTATTCTTTTGTTGCTGTTGAAGTGAACGTCTAGAAATATAACAAAATACTTGATGTCAGGTCCCACAGGAAACCAGTTCGTTTTGTTTTCCCTCGGGATCTGACTGTCATTAAGTGTATAATATATACTGGAATGAAAATGCACAAAAGTTTTGTTGCAAATCTCTAGAACAGTGATTTTTGGGCCACTGAAATACTACATAAACTGGCATATTTCATTTCAAGCAGATTTCTATTTGCAAAGTAATTAATGCCAAAATGAGTGTTTTACAGTGTTTATTGGAACATGCCTGTAACAAAAAAGTTAAAAAAGAAAAATTATGAAACTCCAGTTGTAAGCATTGGGGAGAGATTCACAAGACCATTTAAGTAATCTTTTCTCAAGGCTATTGATGAGAAACAACACTCATGATGTACCTCTAGTATGCATCTGGCGGGAGCGGGGTCCTTCCTTATAAGAGGCTAATGGGGATATGCTGCTGGATAGGGTCACATTTTGACGACTGGATTGACTATAATCAGGTCACATTTTCAATAGGGTTACAAGAATGGGGTTGCACATTTTCTGATTTTGGGGGTAAGAAAGTTCTTCGTATTTACTGTTAGCAAACGTACCAGAATGTTTGTACTGTAGGTGAAAAGTAAAGTGTTCTTCATTCAATTTAAAAAATGTGTCAATTCATTTTAGGATAACCTATTTAGAGGATTGATAGGGTAGATACATAAATAGAAACTGAATAAGTTGGGATTGCAAAAATTACTTAATTGCCCAAAAGTGACTAAAATGGGGACAGTAATTGGCCACAGAATAAACTATAATGGGGTAGGGGCCCTGAGAGGCTAGCGGCACACACCCAGCAAAAATTAATCCAAGTACTCCCCCCCCACTCTCCTCCGGGGCATGTGGAGGAAGTCTAGAGCCATGTGAAATTGAAATTGTGAACAGTAGTGAAACAGTGAAATTGTGTTTGTGTGGTGTTTGAGAATGTAGTGATGAGCTAATATAAGTACCGGTAGTTCTTGAGTTTATGGCCTCAGTGGCCAATTAGAAATAGAAATATAACGGTATCCTAACTAAAAAGATTTGTGAATCCAGTCCAGAGATTAACGTAACTTTACCTGTACTTCACGGAGCTCTCCCATCCACTGGCATCCAGGACAAGGACATCTGACTAGATAGGATAGAATTCTTCTTTCACTTGCTTTATCAGGGAAGATATCCTGATAGAAAAAAAAACACCATGAGGAACTGAACAGGGGAAGCAGTACATGCTTGTGCAAACAAACAGACCTTTCCTACATTCCTGGAAACAAAGGCAGCAACTCAAGGCTTGGGTGGACAAAGTACAGCGATTTGTATGAAGTTGGCCACCCAAACTTCAAACTCATTTTTCTTTATGTTTGCTCACTTGAGCTGAATGCAAGAAAGGTCTATATGTAAGTTTCAAACAACCCAAATCAATAAAGAAATGAAGTGAACTATATTTTAATGTCTGTGGAGTACATAATAAACCCTTTACCCCCAAATATCCACGTAAAAATCCTCCAGACAGCCCCCATTTGTTTAAAAGGTGGATAACACTATTCACTGGATAAATAACTATACGTTAGATACTGTATTAGTCTCCTTATTATACTTATCTGCTGGATAGCGAATGATCCAGTGGATAGTTCTATCCAGCTTTTGAACAACTGGGCCCAGATAAATTAATCAATGATTAAATATAATTATTATATAAATAATCGTGGATGGAAAAGAACCAGCACTGTTGGTACCTTGTCTTTGTCAATCTTTTCTCTGTCACAAGGGCATTCTGGTTGACGTCTTCTGTTAATTCACATAAAGCACAAAAAGGCAAATATTTAACTCTTTGATTTCAATATCAATTTCTTTTCTCTTGTTACAGTAGCCAAAATGTTTAACTGTTAAAATACCTTGTGGTTGCAGATCAAATTATAAATTCCCTCACCTACCAACTCGGTACTACCACCACTATTCACCTCCCCTTCGGGGGATAGTTTTATATTATTATTATTAATATTAAAATTATTGTAAAACACGGCAAATGGACCATCATGACCTCAATCAACAACATGTAATGCAATGTTATGCCAGTGCATGGTTATCACCTTTGGTTGAGTTTTTACTCGTAGTAGATAAAATTGCTTTGTAATGGGTAAAATCACTTCCACAGTTAGGAATTTACTGATACAATAACTGCAATCCTTGTTTATTTTGCAGTTGGGATAGTTCCTACTCGCTCGTTATGTATCGCTAGTAAAAATAATTTTCTTCATGCATATCTCGTGGAGTACCTCAGGTGCCAATCGATTCATTGGCATGGTATTTCAAATCCATGTAGGATTTCAATTGTGTTATCAACAAAACAAATAACATTTTTCATTTTTCCAATACAAGTCATGTGATATTTCCCTGGATAAATGTTTCTTCCAACAAATTTCCCCTTACCACTCACTATTATAAATTATGTAGGCATAATTCATGAAAAGATATTTTAAAGCAAATCAAATGACCTGTATTTGAGCAGAATATACAAGCTAAAAAGTTCTTTAATAAGGCTTCTCCACTTCTTATTATTGATAACTGCCAAGATAAGTTAAGTTCTCCCAGTTGCAATTAGCATAAAATCTGAAGTCCCAAACATGGTCAAACATAATTTATATTCGAATTCATCCAGCTATATAAAATCCTATCAATGAAGTGTAATTATGGTGAATGTATACAATAAATTTCTCTATCATTCGCACTTGATAAGGACTTATGAAAACTTAAGCTGAAAATTAATTTGTAAGTTACCATAAGTTTAAACTTTAAGCTTACCTCCTGAAGGATTCCAAGAGGCAGTCATTACAAAACCTGTGCCCACATCTCGTGAGAACGGCTTTCTTAAGGGGTAAGTGACAAATCTGACAAACATAATCTTCGTCAATGGGAGAAACAAAGTCGTAATCGTAACCTGAAGGAATTGCAGGAGATCCGCCATTACTATCCGCCATTTTGATTGGTCTTTATTGACAAAATCGCGCACTCGCGTGACCTACATACGTAAACGCGAAGACCCTGGGGACGGGCTCTAGATACCAGACTGCCTAGGTTATGGGCAAGTTGAGGGTTATGGTCTTCTTCAGGCATACAAAATATGATCCCTGTTAAATGTTTCACCCTTGTTAGCCACTCTTTCGGTTTTGAAAGGACTATTTCTGCCGTTTTCTCAAAAATGTATAGATCAGACATGCTATTTCGACCGTAAAAGTGGCCTCCTGTTCTGTCAGGGGCCCATAACGTGGGGCGAGCAACTCCCATACTAGGCCTATGTCACGGCGTTTTTATGGACCGGTTTATTTTTTGACACATTTTAGGGCACTTTTGCCAGGGAAAATGGAATCTCTGCCCCGTCTATGAACGCATTCGAAGTGTAAGATATCAAAAAGGAAAACGTAACGTCATTACATGTATAACGCAAAAATTATCATTTTTAGGTCTGTAGGTTTTGCTGACTGGTTTGTGGGACTTTAAAGATATTCTAAATTCGCGCCAAGACCGTTCTAAAAATAAACTGGTCCGTAAAAACGCCGTGACAAGAGTACATGGAAGCTGCTTGCTCCAGATTAGGGCTCCTGGCTATGTTTGTTTGTTTGTTTGGTTTTTTTGTGAATCTTCGATTCGGCTGGTCAACGGCAATTTTTGTAGCTCGCTGTTACAGGGTATTTAAATATTTTAATTCCTTTCAATATTGTCACAGTTGCCTTTGCTAACCTAGGAAAGCATTTCTAATTAAAAGTGTTTCACCCTTTCTTAATCTGCAATCAATCTATTTGACTAGTCCCTGTACGGCGTCTCCCCAGGCCTTCGCGGTCAATGCATTTCCGTGGCGCATTGGCCACGCAGAATTATGAGGCCTTGGAAAACGAGAGCTCTTTTTTGCCCCCCAGCCCCCACCCCCGAGACTAACCCTTCCCTACAGAAATTGTCACATTTCCACTCCACCCCTGTCTCCACCTGAAGACCGATAACTTCCCTCCCCAAGAAGACCGCTGTAGGAGGATTCAACCATACTTTCCTCAGGGATTCATCACTGAGATCTGGGAATAATTACAGACGGGCCACCACCTTTTAACATGTCTCCTGCAGCCCTTATCCAAATCAGCATCAATTATCTCCTGTTAGCAACATCATACATTGTACACACTATCTGTCTTCTCGTTGGCTTAGAGCCTACAGTTAATTCTAGAAATCAGCGCATCCTATAGACTATTCACCCATCCGCTAAGACAATCTTCAGTAATCGCAAAGCATGATTTCCAGTCACCCAGGGTAAATATGCGGATAAAAACACCTTTCCCTCACTAATTTTAGAAGAATGCATGAGAATAACTGGAAGGAGCGAGATTTCAAAATTGACTTTGAGCCTTTCGGGATTAAAGGAGTCCCCCCAAAACTGGACGAAAACAACAAAACTATGCCACATGTCAGCGTGCAAGTATCTAATATTTATTCATCCTCAGATACACATTTCTTTCGCGGAATAACAACGACTGTTCATTTTCCTGAGGTGTTCTCAGGCAAAAAAAACGAGGAACGACTTCACGGCAAAACTTCTGACAAGTACACTGTTTATGCGTCCTTTCTTCAGCGAAATGATAGTAAACCATTTCTTCTGGATCGCTAGGTACACTCCTCAGGGATTTATGACACCATGTGCCATGATCCTGTGATGGCGAATTGCAAGTCCGTGTAATCTTCACCCTAAAGGCTCTGGGCTTATTATTCATCTCGTATTTACCTGTCAAGATAAGCACTGACGCATCAGTAACAATTGTTTTAATCGGTCAGTCTCCCTTTTTTTCAACTTCAGTGAGGGGAGTGCACGCGCGCGAGAGAGACGAGAGTAAAGGTGGTCATTTTCGTGTCTCACACGTTTCGCTCGAAGGACAAATAAAAAAGGAGACTGCACCTAGTCAACAAAGTCCAATCAAAAATTCAAAAGTGATTTGAACGTTCTGACTTGCAACGAAGTGACCGTAAAGCACTAAAATAGCCTGGCATTGCATGGCTGGTAGTATGTTTGGCGAGAGGGGAAAAAAGTTGCGAACGCTCATTCTCCTCGCGGCTTGGCCGCTCATTTGCGCGCTCGGCAAACAAAACCACCAGCTACGCAGGCTAGCAGTAAAAGTAGTCCATTTAGTCTAGTCCATGAAAAGTGGAGTCCAATTGTGCACGGAAATTCTCCTTACATAGAGCTTGTACTTACAATGTCATCGATTTTCAGAATACTGCGAACGGTTTCAGACGCTAACTGAATGGCACTGGTGGAGACTAACAGCGGCTGCAGAACGTTCTCTTCCAGAATATTTGTTATGGTGCCCTGAAAAAATGCACAGAATGAACAGATGTTTAACCACTTAATTTTTTAACAAAACCCCTAAATATTGTATATGCAATGTTGTAAAAAACTTGCTTGAACCAAAGTACGAAGTCAAATTAATGAGGAAAGGAGAGCAGCTCCGACTTTTATACGAAACAACTTTTGAACGATCCAAACTCATTCAGACGAACTTGACTGACCCAGACGTCGAACTTTCTATGAACTTAACTCACCAAGTTTGGTTCGTTTCATGAAAAGTTATTCGACGTTTCGCCTCGCCAGGCTTATGGTACTCCTAAGTGCGAAAGTTTTTCAATCTCTTTCCCACCTTTCTGACGTTTATCCCAGCTGTAGTCTCTCCCTGCGCATGTCTGTTACGCAAGTCAGTGACAGTCGCTATGGGGTTGAGTCCGGCATTCTCAGCCAGCGTGTACGGGATGATCTCCAACGCCTCGGCAAAGGCGCGAACGCAGTATGCCTCCATTCCTGTTAAAGTGCGCGCATGCTCCGCAAGTCTAATGGACACTTCAATCTCTGGTGCTCCACCACCAGCAATGAGAGCCCTGCCGACATGGAATATATACAATCACTGTAACATAAGCGAGTGCTAAGTATATAAGCGCTTGCAATTAAATGTTAATCTCTTCTTGTAAGACAAATACCAATCAGAAAAAGGAAAGAAAAGAAAAATGAAATGAAAGACAAAATGTTAACAGACATAAAGCTGCCAGCAATGTACCATCTGAACTGAACGATTTCACAAAATGAAGCGTTAAGAGGAGCAAAATAATTTCTATTCTGCTATCCTCTAAGTACCTTTTACGGGTATCAAAGTGTCACTCACCACTGCATCATAACATGGAAATGAAAACATTGCACTTGAAGTGCAGCAACGTACAACGTATTTCCTATAAGTTTTAAAACATATCTGCAAACTTTGACTGACTTTGTTAATTGTTGCAGCCGATCACTTCATTTTTCCTTTCACTCAACTTCTACTGACCAATATCAGGGTACCAAGTAATAACGTGCTTTTTAAGGGACAACTTTCAATAAATAATGTGTACTAGATGCGTTTCTTTTCTCCATAAATAGCCTACCTACCCATGCATTGGACAAGGTATACCAACGCGGCCACATTGAAATGACAGCAAGAGCGATTCAAATTGAGGACAAGATACTGACACTATGACCAGATTTATATTAGACCGAAAAAGCGCTCGTATGGCGCGACTGCATCATAAAAAATTAATAATGTTTTGCCAGCGTAAGCTTACCTTTTTTTGACCAAGCATCTGACCACACAGAGAGCATCATGAAGAGACCGCTCGGCTTCTTCTAACACAAGCTTATTTGATCCACGAACCAGGATGCTGACAGTGCGACCAGGCGTGGTTATACCTGTCACCTTCACCACTTTACTGGTTCCAAGATTAACTTCTTCAACAAGTTCTGCTGATGCCATCATCTCTGGAGTGAAGTGATCTAAGCTGGCAATGGGTTTACAGCCTAAGCTCTAAATACGAATTAAGTAAAACGGGTATTATTTTCCTTTGTAACTACATCAGCAACTTGTTCTTTGTTACAAATAAAACAGACTATTTGCCAGCTGCTGGAGTCCTAACTGACTCAGAACAGCAAACGAAGAGGGAAAAACTCAAGTCTTAGTGAATGAACAAAAGACAAAACCCGAAGAAATGGCAACAACGTTTACTTTACCTTGCATATGAATTCTATTTCATCTCTTTCAATGTCTCTAACAACAAGTATCTTCATTTTGTTTAAGAAATGGAGAGCTAAATCACTAACAGCATCTCTGCAAAACAATCAAATGAGCAGGCTTTTTTTAAAATTACAAGAACATCAATTTAGTTTGCTTATATTTCACTACTTTTTAGGAAACCATCTTTACCTTAAGATAGACTTCTGAATGAGCAGCACATTGCATCCAGCCTTTTTTATTTTTTTGCAGATTTCCAGAATGTATTGGCGTTCTTCTCTAAGAACTCTGTCCATCTGGGTGTAATCGCTAACTATTACTTGGTTTTCCATCTAAAACAAAACAAAAAACAGATAAGATACCTTGTCAGATGAGATGACATTAATTTTATGTGCCATTGACCACACATTAACTGTTCTATTTTGCAGAGGTCAGGGTGGAATCACGCAAGCCTGAATTTTTTTCAAGCTTTTGTTTAGACACTGCATAGGTTGCATCTTTAACTCTGTGAAAATCTTCTTTACATTTATGCCTTCATTCTGCCAGTCAGAAATTCATATATTCTTTTTTTTATCTTCTATTTCTTCCTCTAGGAAACTGAATAATTTGAATTTTCAGTGGACAAAAACCTTGTACCACAATAATTTAAAGCATATTTCATTCTTTTTAAAATTTTTCAAGGGCTAAAGATGTAAGTAGTCATCTGTAACAAAACCAAAGAAAATTTCTTATGGGAGCCCAAGAAAATAACCATCAAATTTCACAAAATTATATCTTGCACATGAAATTTCAGAATTTTACCTGTGTTTTCACAATTCTTGTGAAATTTGACATTCATTTTCTCGGACTCCCATGACAAATTCTCTTTGGTGTTATTACAGATGACTAATTAATGTGAAAAGGAATGCAATATTTTTTCAATTATTCTGGTACAAGGTCTTTGTCCACTGAAAATTAAAATTACTCAATTTCCTGGTGGGTTCCACCTTAATACCGGTTGTACTATGCAAAAGTTCTGCCAAGGGTTACACTTGAAAAGTAAAACCATAGGATTTTGTCCACAGATTCAAAAGTTGGAATGAAAAATCATCTCACCATAACTACAAGCCTAAGGGTTTTTAGCTGGATATTGACATCTACCAGATAAATCACTATTCAGCAGATACGCATCAGGGAAACCAACGTACTGTGTTATCCAATGGCTGGAGATTTATTTTGTAGATGGGGATATTCACCTCTTGAACGACTGAGGTCAAGTTAAAGAGTATGACAGATGTTAATAGATTTTTACAAAAACAAGGACTTACATCTGTCTTTGGAGGTGAAATACAGAACTGTATCAATCCAATTTTGGCTTTTTCCACTTGCGATATTCCTCCAGCCAAATGACTGATTTTTTGCTCTAATACAAGGCCCTCCACAAGTTCTGTATCATCAACAGTGCCCCTGGAAAAAAAAAATAAAAAAATAAATTAATATCAATGTCCACTTAGTTGTGGCTCTGCTACTCCCATAGGCGCTAAAACAGATGTCTTTATTTGGGGTGATGTGATCTGTACAGTTGACTCTCTCTTAACAGACACCTCTATAAGACGGACACCTCCCTAAAACAGAGACCTAGAGTTGGTCCCTACCTTTCTTTACTCTCTTTATTTGACTCTCTACAAGACAGACATCTCTCTAAGACGGACACTTACTGCTGGTCCCAAGGATGTCTGTCTTAGGGGGAGTTGACTGTATAGCTATCTGCTTTCTTGAATCTAATAGGTCACCTTGAGTTCCAAGTGTCACCTCATTTACTTTAAAGTGCAGCGCACTGTCTGTTATTTGATTTTTAACTTGCTGCTATAGTACTTACTGATTTATTTACATATTGATTTATTTATTTGTTCTTTAAATAGATATACATATACAATTTTTTTTTTGGGGGGGGGGTGCTTACTTAAACCTTTCTCATCTTCAATGACAGTACTGCTTAATAATTCTTTCACTTTCTTCATTTTGTTATTATTTTGAGCAAAATAAACACAGTACGTGCAAATTACAGTAAAGTGCAAATTTAACTTATTTCATCAGAAACTGTAACATGACTATGCATTTTTACCATAAAACATGATCTGCTTATTTCACCAAGTAAATCAAATTCCTTTGGTGTTGACCAGTGTTAGTTTTAGTGTTTTTTACCTTATATAACAACAATAGCTCATGGGAAGGGTAAATTTCAGTGACATTTTGATCAAGGGAAAGGAAATTTAGTTCGAGTTAGTGGGAATTCAAGTTATCCAAGTTCAAGTTAATCAAATAAAAAAGACTGGAAAGTGGGGTGAAATCCAAAGGAAAATGAACTTAGTTCGAGTTAGAAGGGAGTTTGAGTTATTGGGGTTCTACTGTTGGGAAATGTATTGAGTTCAGTCTGGAGAATCTGTGTGTAGATATTGAACTTAGGGTTAACCCATTCGCCCCTGAACCGCCCGTAACCGCCCGTGCAGATCCAGGTCCTTTCTACCCATTGTGACGTCATCAGTTTTAACGGTCAAGGACAACTTTCTTCATCTCCATGAAAATCTTGTTCCATTACCCACCTACCTTTCCTTTCACCTAATCCTAAGATCCTAAAATCTTTCCTAAAAACTCTTCCCACCAAAATCAAGCCTACTAAATGCCCAGCAAGAGAAAAAAAAAAAAGAGGCAAGAAAAGCGAAAAAAGAAGGGAGGAGAGAAAGCGAAAAGTAAAAGTCAAGACTGCTGTGTCACTTTTAAACCCAAAAACTATGTCGAAATTTTGCTTTCTGCGCTTGCCCGAACTTCGCAAGCTGATATTTTGCATCTGGATCAGAAGGCTGCGAAGTGTTCGACCTGTAAACCAGTTTGTGGTAAGTTTTAGCTCTTTATAGCACGACAGTGACCAGAAAACCACTCGACTAGCTTCGAAACACGTTTTTCGGCAAAATCTCCAGGAGTGAATGGGTTAAAGACCCCAAAAACTATTAATATCACTGTGTCAAGAAAAAGCTTAGTACACAAAAGTGAGCTTTAGCAAAGACGTTTTTGAGCAATGCACACCAACCAGAAGTGGACTGTATCCATTCTTGGGCAGTTTATGAGACCATAAACACTTAGCAATAAAAACTTGGAAGCGTTATGGCAAATTAGAAGAGAAAGGAGCTCACTTCCAGTTGACGTGCATCGCTCAAAAGTGCATTTGCTCAAGCTCCCTAGTATAAACTTTGACCTACCCCAGTTTTTGAACAACTCTGATATCTTTAAGATTAACATTGTCTGCTGTTGAAGGATCAATAACTCTCAGAACAGCATCAACAGTTATTGGAGCCAATAGATTAGAATACTGTGAAACAACCTAACAAACAAATAACACAACATCATTAAAAACTGGCTTTCGCTCTACATTTTGAGAAGACAGAGTAAAACACAGATGCTTTAGGCAGTTACAACTAAAAAATACCAAAACAAAAAAACAACATTTTTTGAGGTTGCCCTTCAAAAAAATGGAAAGTTTAACTTTGTGTCCACTCAAAATAGTGTTCGGTGGTTTGTGTTACTTTTAAGTTAAAGTACTAAGTTAGATAATTGATAATAATCATTGCTAATCATTAATTTGGAATTGGCAAATAGCTTTCTCAATCCAGTGTAGCTGTAAATCTCTACTGTCCACAACACATCAAGAAAGACATTTTGCCTCAAACACAAGATTTTATTTCCAACTTCACTGACCTTGGAACTGAGAGAGGTCATTGCACTTTTAAGCAGCGATTCACGATCACTGAGAGCAACTGGAGTGGCCATGTTTGTAAGTATCTCTACTGCTTTGGCCGCAGCCTTTTCAAATGACTCTGATATTGTGGTGGGATGAATTCCTGTAAACAACATTAAAAACTTACTGTTGCAAACTGTGCCCAACACAGCTTGTCACAATCCTGGGCCCAGTTCCTGAAAGGCCGATTAGCGCTAATCCAGGATAAAAATAATGTTTCACTTTTTGCATTTACCTTCCTATGCATTGCTTAGAGTAACAGTTTGTGTTATCATTTAGCAACGGTATTTTGTAAGTTCAAGAAACATGTTCTTAGACAAAAAAACCTTGCTTAAAATTTGGCATATTCCTGGGTTAAACTTAACCATCTTTTGAGGAACCAGGCCCAGTAGTTAAATTTGCAACTGCATCATTCGACCAAACTGTACCAAACATTTTTAATTCTGAAGTTTTAGATTTGCTTAGAACTTAAAGACTTAAATACATAATTATTGGCCAACTAATTTCTGGTCTGTAGGACAAAATGGTGAACTGGTCAGACATAATGAAAATCATGTACATGCACAAAGAAATATAATTTGCAGGCCTCTTGTAGGTTGCTTCTATTGACTTTCAAGTATGATTTAACATGAAAGTTGTTGGAGCAACCGTTTTTCTTTCTCCCTCTTATCTGAATAAAAAGCCATAATGTAGGGCTAGCTACTAAATGAAGAGGGAATCTAATAGCAGCTTAGGTCACCCTTACTTCAGATTTAATAGGAAAGGAAAAAAGAAAGTGAATTCTGGTAGTTGTAGTTAAATAGTGTTTTTTGTGAAAATGGTCTGTTGTTGTGAAATGACTATTACACTCTATTATAAAGATTGGGGAAAGCCATGGTCTAGTTCTGTCTAAGAGACAGACGGCCTCACTTGGCCCTCTAATCATCTAGTCCCGGTTCTGAAAATGGATAACACTATTCACTGGGTAAATCACTATCCAGAGAATGATATTTATCCAGTGGAAAGCACTATACACTTTTTGAACAACTGGTGCCTGGTCATGAATTTGGTTACAAGTCAGTCAATAGAGGATGAAAACAGGCAGAACTTGTTACCTTTCTCAAGAAGCTTGGCACATGCACTTAGCAGGCTTCCAGCAATCACAACAACAGTAGTGGTACCATCTCCAGCTTCAATATCTTGGGCTTTAGAAAGTTCTACAAGCTGAATACACCAAATAACATTGACTACAATACAATTTGAAAATACTGTAACATACTAGAAGTTTATATTATGTCACAGGAAACCCAAGCTCACAGGGTAGCAACAGTCAGGTTATTAATCCAGAAGTATGAAACTTTTTAAATAAAATGTTTACGAAAACTATACTTTGAGTTTAAGACCACAGGTACTTCCCTGTGAGACTAGGTTATCTGTGGCTCTGTTTATGATTTAACAAAACAGATCACACTGTAGGTCAGCTTGATTGTCTTCAAATGAGACATTTTGCTCAGACATCAATAAATATGGGTTGCCTTAAGTGACACTTCAGTAATAAAGTATACCAAATCGCTGTTGGAGCAACCATTACTTTCTCCCTCTCATCTGAATAAAAAGCCATAATGTTTGGCTAGCTACTAAATGAAGAGGGTAAGTTTTCTACATAGACAGCAACTTAAGTTAAAAATAATATAACTTATGTCCAAAATTCTTCTTTTTAAGCACATTTCAAGTAACCCTCATATCTAAGATTAAATTTAAATTCCAGGGTCCCGCTGTTCGAAGGCCATTTAGCACTGACCCAGGTTAATTTTAATCCGGGGGTCTTTTTCTTTTGCCAAAAATGCAGGACAAGTTTGGGATAATTTTCTGCATTCTTTTTAGAGCATCCAATTAACCAATTATATACAAAAAAAGAGTCAGGCACACTGAATTTCATTTTTAAGCCTTTATACCTGAATTCAAATTCTGCACTAACCCAGCTTTGAACAACCCGACCCAGAACACGACTTATAAGAGTAGCACAAACCCTGGGTTAGAAAAATTAGTTAATATAAATAAATATCCAGCCTGGAGAAAAAAAGTATACATGTTGGAAGCAGTACAATAAGAGCACTGAATTGACAATGTCATCATCTGCTCTTGGCAATAAACCAAGACCACTACATCATCTGCATATCAGGGTGTGACAGAAACATTGTCTGATAGCAGGGCCTTGTAGGACTACCCCGTCAGAGCTTCCATGTTTTTACAACAAGTTGTTAGACAGATATAATGCTATGATGGATAAGCTTGCGGTCACACAACATAAGATGGAACGCATAGTGCTAGGCATTACCCTTCAAGATCGTAAGCGAAACATCTGGATCCATCAAGAAACTGGCGTAAGCAATATCATTAATGCTATAAGGAAAGCAAAGCATAGATGGGTAGGTCAAATTGCACAGCTATCTAATAACCCTGGGACCATCAGAGCAACAGACTGGACCAGAAACATAAGATGGAGAGACAATCTCACCAGACAGTTTGTACCAGTATGGTCAAGATTAACCAAGCACAGACACCTGTGGGATCGATCCAGGGAGGAGTTCCTCTGTCAAGAGTGAATGCAAACCCTGATTATGATGATGATGGTGTTGATGATTAGACAGACAAGCAAAAATTACGAAGATAAAGTTAATGTTAGGGGATTGGTAGGCCTGCATGACCGCTTTAGGTGGGTAGGGTTGGGTATTCTGCATTTCTGGGAAATCACCCACCATTCTTGCCGCTGGGTGTAACACTTGCATTTGTTTCAAGATTGTAGCTCCATCATTTGTGATCGTCACATCACCATTTCCACTTTGAATCTATGTAAGAAAGAGACATTCCAAAAAAGCAAAGTTTCAATAGCAGCTTGAAAATACTAGCTAGAAATAAAAATAAGGCTTATCTTATCTTGACAGCTTTCAACCATTTTGACCATTTACACAGTACACATGAAGTTTGTTTAAATTTTGGGAAAAATTCACAGATTATCATTTAAAAATGTAAAAGATAAAATAAAAAATTAAAGGATGAGGAAATAAAGTAAGAATTTATTAACGTACAAAAAATATACAAACAGCGAACTGTAACCAATAATCTACCCACCATCTTGTCCATTCCTTTTGGTCCAAGACTTGTTCTTATAGCATCCGAAACAGCTGCAGAATAAAAAAAATTTTAATCAACAGTCACTGGGAGATTAATCCTGACGGGAAACTCCTGACAACGACTTGGTAACAAACCTTTCGCTGCAGTTATGTTACTCATACGGATCTCAGTCGGTTTGTCCTTGTCTTTGAAAGCGCCCTGTTTATGTCTTCCACCAGAGCTGACATTATTTGTCTTCGTTGCAACTTCAGGCATTGTGACCTGATTATCTAAGAAATATTCTCACTCTTCACAACTGAGAAGCCTGAATATCGACCCCGTCTGATCGATGCAAAAGGATTCCTTGAAGATATTTCACGAGTTGACAAGAGAACGATCACGGCTCGTCCAGAAATACAGCCGCGGGGTACTAGGAACGACTATGTCACAGACTAACCAGTCGCGCAAACGGTAGCTTCGGTAAAACCTGCAACCAAGATATTTAATTAAAACCAACTTTTATTTGGACGACTCCAAGGGTTATTAATAGATTTTCCGGGATCCTAGATTTGCCTTGTATGGAGACTAGGATTCGGGACTTTTTAAAAAACAAAACTAGGGACAAGATTTGAAATTGAAAATACGCACGGGACACCGCGCAGCTGACCGCAGGAAGCCAAAAAGAACAACCGGTATTACGGTTTTGAGCGAAAAATAAGAATACTTAACTAAAACTAAAGTATAAAGCATAAGTACGAATCTCGAGTTCTCGCATGAGCTACGTTACGATGTTAAACCTTTGTTACGTCAATAACATCACTGTTTGCTTTTTTTACGATAAATTATTGATAAAGTAAGACGCGTTTGCAATTATTGTTTCTCTTGCATTGTTACCACTACAAAGGGTTGTTGTTACGTTAGTGATTTTCGAAAGATGTTTGTAACCATTGTAAATTGCTAATTATCATTATGAAAGCAATCACGTCCATGGCGTTAGCCAAAATTTCAAACATTTTCTACGCAATTTAACAGATTCTAATTTAAAATTTTTATTATTTTTTTCTTTCTTCGTACTGTACTTTTGTTGTAATTATTTATGAGCTGCTGGAAACACGCCTATTGTTGAAGACTAATTCTCATTTGTTTGTCAAGTATGATACTCAAACTTTTCCTCAACTTTCTGCGCTTTTCGAAGGAATGATGATTTTTGTCTACCTAAAAGTTTGTATTCTCGATTTCTCGCACTTTTTACTGTAGTCGTGACGAGCGGGTGCAAAACAGGCTATTGTAGTCTTCGCATATTCATTAGTTTTGTCAAACTGATAGTGGTGATCAACATCACTGAGTAATGAAATGTTAGGAGTCAAAATGGTTCTTGTGCTACCAATTCTTTAACACTAGTTTTCCTCAACTTTCTTCGCTTTTATCGCCAACCGAGAAGTTTAGAAAGTTTTATATTTCTATCCCGCTAATTTTAAATTTATTCAGGAGCAAGCTTGTCGTAATGCACACGGCTATAGGCCTTTTTCAAAAATACCATAATACTCTTTGTTGTCCCTCCAAAATTTTGCATTCGCATTGTTTTCAATTTCTCTTGGGGCGAAAGGCCTATTGTCTCACTCATTCACCAGCCAGTTTTGTCATCGATTTGTCAAGTTTTAATCAAGTCGGCATTTTTTTTCTGAATGCGTCTAATTCAAGCGTTAGTCTAATTTTTCATTGATGAACTGAGTGCTGTTTATGCTTATCCACTAGTGTACTGTTTTCAACCAAGAGTTACGTTATGTAATTGAGCGAGTCGGGAAACTTTTTGAATGTGACCATGCAATCTATGCTTTGATTGCCCATTGTTGAACATAGAGTGCGTGCTTTTCTCACATACAGTTTCAAGAAAAGAGTTATAAAAAACATTTCTCACACTGGTTTGAATTTTAATCGAGCGACCGTATAAATGGAGACGCCAATTTCAAGTTGATTTAACTGTGTTTGAAGCCAGAAACCTCCGTTCCTTGCTTTGCCGGCGGTGTATTGAGGACCAAACTCAGCTACTTTGAAGGCGATCTCTGGTCTGGAATGAAAGTCAAGATTCTCTTTTGCCTCCTCAAAAACAGCAGGTTTGTTCTTAGTTCAACTTTAACGTTTGGTTTCGCAATCGTTTCTTTTAGTTTTCTGGAAAAAATGTAAGTCAGTTTAAAGAAAGGGTGATAAGCGTTCAAATTGCTTTACCGGTTCTCAATGGTTATTTTTGATGCAGAAAGAAATTAATATTTTAGACTCTACATAACGGATTTTCTGTCATAATTCTGTCCTCTGAGAGTTATTCAATGTGTCGCCTGAAGTTATACACCTGTAAACATTCATAGTCCCTTTGTTATGTTGGCTCGATGAATGTTGAACTGGAAAGACAAAAATATAATAAAAGTTTTCGTATAGTCAACCAGATAAACGCCAGTTGAGATTGTAAGGGTCTGATAGGCCTCTTTTGTTGATGTCTATGTAGTTACAATTTTTCGCTTTGATTATAAAAGAAGTGTTCACTTCTGTAGACTACGCTTATAAAATAAACTTCAAACGCTGGAGAAACTTTTATTACTATCACTCAGACTATATGGTTTTATATTTGTTTAACCGCGCGCCGCCTTATTAATTAATCTACGATTTAAAGGTAAATTATCCTTTTATTCCCCACAAACAGGATGCCAACAAACCAACTATTAGCAATTTTGGCGTAAACTACTTAGCTTGCACCGGGAGAGAATTACAATACTTTCGGGGACGGTTCAGGCTGGCATAAGATAATAGTCCACAGAGGGGCAAGACAGGTATGAATAAAACTGAAGGTAACGAGAATCCAGTTAAACAGGGCCCAGTTGTTCGAAGGCCGATTAGAGCTTAACCCGGGGTTAAATTTAAACCGGGTTTCCTTTTCTTGTTTTCAAAAGCATTTTCTAGGATAATTTTCTCTGTTATTTTTAGAGCTTCCAATCATCAACTTGTAGACAAACAGAATTAAAACTGAAATGCTTCTTAAGCTTTCAAATCCGAATTCAAATCTGGCACTAACCCTGGATTATCTTAACCCAGCTTTGAACAATTCGGCCCAGGAAAATAAGGTTCATTCGGAGTGAAATTCTTAACACGTTAGTCCACAAGTATTTACAACAACAAATAACGCTTTCCATTTTTTAACAGGTAGTTCCTGACCATAAAGAAAAGCAGAGCAATTTGCCTTCCAAGAGAGTCTTGAAAATAACAATAAAAGTACTGCCAAGGTCCTTAACAAGGATATGCAGCCAACTCACTTGCTTGTCTGTCATTTATTCAGTATATACCAAACCTATGGTAAGTTCAGTTTTTGCACAACGCAATCGGTTAGTCAGGTCTACATGTAATTTTCCCTTATTTTGAACCGGTCATTATTTTAGGAAAATTTTAAGAACAGGTCATTGAGGTGGAACAGAAGATCATTGTTAGAAATAATAACCTACTGTTTCAATTCAGTGACCATAATAATAATTTGCTGGTTCTAAAACTATGGAAAAGTACGCGCTCGGTCATTATTTTAAATAAGGTCTCAGGACTCCGCGACAAAGCTATATTTTCTTTCAAAGTTGCATGTTACCTTCTAATAATTTTGATGTGAGTTTTGTGGTCTCTCTGGGAATACCGGTTTGGTATATACACCAAGACAACTCCATGTCGTTTTTAGTTATGAATTTAACATCTTCCGGTCTAACAGACAAAAAAAACCAAAATCTAAAAGAAACTTACGCTTTTGTATTCAAAGAAAGAACAAAACCCTATCCAAAACAAAATTCCTCAGCGTGAACCAACAGCAAAAGAGTGAAATAACAAAAAAAAGGCTACAAAATATACTCCAAGACGATTACAATAAAACGTTACTATAAAGACAACCATTAAAGAAAAAAAAAAGAACACAACAAAGCAGATAAGGTAGGTCAAAAAAGGTAAGTCACAAGGTAAGTTCATTTATACTCCTTTTTAAGCCCTGGGGACTAAGTGCTCCGCCCAAGGGGGGAGAGCCCTGGGGACTAAGTGCTCCGCCCAAGGGGGGAGAGCCCTGGGGACTAAGTGCTCCGCCCAAGGGGGGAGAGCCCTGGGGACTAAGTGCTCCGCCCAAGGGGGGAGAGCCCTGGGGACTAAGTGCTCCGCCCAAGGGGGGAGAGCCCTGGGGACTAAGTGCTCCGCCCAAGGGGGGAGAGCCCTGGGGACTAAGTGCTCCGCCCAAGGGGGGAGAGCCCTGGGGACTAAGTGCTCCGCCCAAGGGGGGAGAGCCCTGGGGACTAAGTGCTCCGCCCAAGGGGGGAGAGCCCTGGGGACTAAGTGCTCCGCCCAAGGGGGGAGAGCCCTGGGGACTAAGTGCTCCGCCCAAGGGGGGAGAGCCCTGGGGACTAAGTGCTCCGCCCAAGGGGGGAGAGCCCTGGGGACTAAGTGCTCCGCCCAAGGGGGGAGAGCCCTGGGGACTAAGTGCTCCGCCCAAGGGGGGAGAGCCCTGGGGACTAAGTGCTCCGCCCAAGGGGGGAGAGCCCTGGGGACTAAGTGCTCCGCCCAAGGGGGGAGAGCCCTGGGGACTAAGTGCTCCGCCCAAGGGGGGAGAGCCCTGGGGACTAAGTGCTCCGCCCAAGGGGGGAGAGCCCTGGGGACTAAGTGCTCCGCCCAAGGGGGGAGAGCCCTGGGGACTAAGTGCTCCGCCCAAGGGGGGAGAGCCCTGGGGACTAAGTGCTCCGCCCAAGGGGGGAGAGCCCTGGGGACTAAGTGCTCCGCCCAAGGGGGGAGAGCCCTGGGGACTAAGTGCTCCGCCCAAGGGGGGAGAGCCCTGGGGACTAAGTGCTCCGCCCAAGGGGGGAGAGCCCTGGGGACTAAGTGCTCCGCCCAAGGGGGGAGAGCCCTGGGGACTAAGTGCTCCGCCCAAGGGGGGAGAGCCCTGGGGACTAAGTGCTCCGCCCAAGGGGGGAGAGCCCTGGGGACTAAGTGCTCCGCCCAAGGGGGGAGAGCCCTGGGGACTAAGTGCTCCGCCCAAGGGGGGAGAGCCCTGGGGACTAAGTGCTCCGCCCAAGGGGGGAGAGCCCTGGGGACTAAGTGCTCCGCCCAAGGGGGGAGAGCCCTGGGGACTAAGTGCTCCGCCCAAGGGGGGAGAGCCCTGGGGACTAAGTGCTCCGCCCAAGGGGGGAGAGCCCTGGGGACTAAGTGCTCCGCCCGTGAGGTTATTGGAAAATTGATGATTTAGGCGTCTCCGATGTCACTGGAAGTGATACCGGTCTCCAATTTTCTTATTTATTTGGCTCAAAATTGCATTAACCGCTCCCTTACCCACCCAAATGACTTTCGAAATAGCTTTTCCGGTACTGCTAGAATTTCGCCTAGTGTCTCCGGGCCGTCGAAATCGCCTCGCTATGCGATGGATCAAGGGAGGACTTTTTGTTTCTGCGAGAATCTTTGCCAGACGAAAATCTGCAGGCGGTAACATTATTGGCTTAAACCAACAAAGGAAATCGCACGCGTGCGAGTGCGGGCTCATTTTCCCGAACAGCGGCTTGTAATCGAGCCTATTCCTCTCCCGCGTCCTTAACGGATGTAATTTTCGTGTGAGTGTAAATGAAGCATTGACGTTTGATTGCGCCTGGTGATATTTGTACTTCAATATGAGTGAACGAGAGGAAGAGAGTAAACTTCTGGAAAATTTGCCTGCATTGGACGCTTTACCGGTTGAGGAGGTACATAGTTAATATATTTCAGTTTGGCAGTGCGTGTTTTTGTTTGAATTTCGTGGATTTATGCGATATCACTTTCGCTTTTTAGTGTACGATTTCAATCGGCAGCAGAATGCAGAGTGCCAAATGACTCTGAAGTTTAGTGATTAGGGTTAGGAAACTGCGTGAACTAAGTTTGAAGTCAGTTTTTCCGGTTTTATTATTATAAATGGAACCTGATTCACTCAGTTTCCTTACCCTAATCACTAAACTTCTGGGAGTCATTGGGCGTTCTGAAGTCTGCATTTAGCCAGGGGCACCCAACGTCAATTTTTGGAAAATATCTGTCCGGAAAACGATTTGAGATCTAGAATTTTCGGAACATTTGTTGTAAAATTTCTTGCTTGCCTGCCTCTCCTATGATTTTCGAACATCTAAAAAATGGTATAGTTGCCAATTTTTAATGGACTTTTACCCTAAAAAGGGCACCTAGAATTTTCGGGAGCCTTTTTTCTGGCTGAAATTTTCGAAAAGGTAACTATTGATCCCTATAATTTTCGGATCACTAGACCTTCAGCTAGGAAATCCGAACAGATGAAAAATTTTTAGGGGATAAAAATATGTCTATATCTACCGTTTAAATACTAAAATACGTTCAACAATGCTATGTTTAAGTGGTTTTGAACTATATTCTCGTTGGGTGCCCCTGTTTAGCGTTCCGTTTTCTGCGTTATTTCAGCAGGGCATTACAAATGGATCGAAATCGATCATCGAAAGCTAATCGATAAATCGATAAAATGGATATTACTCGACAAAAATCGATTTGTTTGTTTAAAAAATCGATCGAAATTGGTAATCTCAAAATATTGCGGATGTGTATCAACTTTATTGATTTCAATAATGTTGTTATTCATGGACGACCAAAGGACACTAGAGAAAACTGGAGAAATCAAGAAAAGTCAATCACTCAAAGCGCGATCGAAAGAATCGTTGAGAAATTGAAAAAGAGAGTGTTTCAGGGCATTATCATGGTAGCTTGTTCACTTTTCTACCTAATTGCAACTGCATGTTACTGCTAACTTTTATGTGTGTTTTTTACTTGGCCTTTGTTTTGTTGACAGGTAATCAATGCTGATCAGCCAGTACTCTCATTCTCGTTCTGCCAGACTTATGATTATTGTTTAAAAGTAAAGTTTTGTTACTTTCAGACTGTGTTTAAGTTGTCATTCCGTGTGTCTGTTTGGTGGAAAGAGGTCAAAAGAAATTAGAAACTATAGGGATTCTATTGAATCATCACACTAGCTGCCGCTATGTAATGTTCGTGCTTCAGAATGTATAGCTCTTTACATTTCGATACTTTTCGATTGAAATCGATGGAAATCGAACAGAAATTGCTGAAAATCAATAATCACAAGAATGAGTGTGATGGCTCATTATCAATTTTCGATATTTGTGGATTGGTTAATACTGATTTTATCAATTACTATCGATTTTTATCAAGTATTGAAATTATCGATTTGTAACGCCCTGATTTCAATCAACCGAATCACTAGCCCCGCCCACTTGCTGGTCAGTTTTGTTGCTAGCCATACGAAGCAGGGGTCAAAACAATTTTGGGAATGTTACCAGTCATGTTGACCAACCATAGAACTTTTAGCTCAGTCATGTGGACTCTCTATTGACCAGTCAAAATAATAGAATTAACTTGAGAATAACTTTTAAGCGTTATAGCCTAACAAGCAAAAACAAACAAAGTGAAAAAAGATGCTTATCCTCTTGAAACGTGATGGTGAGAAAATAAACTATTTTCTGGTCACTAATTCACATATCCGGTGAAAATTACCAGGAAACCAAAAGTTTGTCCAAGCAAATGGTCATCTTAGCCAGACATTGTCTGTTTAGCGGCCTCTTCTGTTTTAAGCCCTGTGAAGTGATCTCGAGAGAAAATTTTGCTGACAATATGATGCCACTGTCATGTTTCTATTTAGGAAGAAAAAGAGGAGCCATCGTTTATAAGGAAGCTTGATTTCTCCTTTGATCCAGACTGTAAAACTTGCAAGGTCATCAGTGCCTCTGTTTGCTACGGATCAGGGGTGCTTGTCTTCTCAAGTATGAAACAGATCCCAAAAATGTCTGCAAAGATAATGACTGGAATATTTGGAGTAGGTATGTTCAGGCAAAGGGAGTTACACCTCTGGTTTGAGATTAAATAGACACTGCTAGTAGGTATCTTCTAACAAGAGACCTCTTCATCTAGGGCAATTCCTAGATGCCAAATGCTCATGTTCAAGAACAAATAACTACAGAAGAGAAATTAATAAGAGTCTTCTCTTTGGGTATTTAGAGGAGACTCTTATTTCTCTTCTGCAGTTATTTGTGGCTGTGAATGGTATGGTTTTCAAGCAATATTATTAGTCTGGGATAATGTAAAGAAGTCAGAGAGTTTGTGTCTAGAATTAATAGGGTGTCATTTTCTATGAAACTGATCAAATTAGTTACGGTTTTAGTCCAGACTGGGCAAATTGTTAACACTCAAAAAAAATAAAATAGACAAATCTAAATTTACCCACAGCTCAGTTTAATAGCAAAGAAAACTTTGACCTTAGAAACTTTTGGAAAATAGCAATTGTAGGATACGGAGGGATTTTGGAAGTTTAAGGTCTAGTAGGGTAGCAAAGTTCGGCTTAACTAGGTGACTGGTGTAGGTTAAGAGTTGGAGGGTACGTCCCAGCAGCACATCCCTACCCAAACATTCCTAAAGTACCTTCCCTGGTTTGGCTCCTTCCTGTTACCTCAAAGTCTGGATCCACGACTGTTTTTTTTTACTATGAAGACCAGGATTAAAAGAATAAGTGTTCACACCTTACTATTGTATTAAGCAACCAGTAATCAAGGTCCCAAAATTTATTGTAGAGAAGAATGATATTATAATTATTGTAGATTAAATCTCTATTAAGTGGCCAGCATGATCAAGGGGCCTTAGCCATGCTTGGCCATGCCAACAAGAGTTCTTCTGATAATAATTGTTTTTATCTCTGTTAAGTTACTATCAAGCACTTGTTACGCTAACTGTCTCAGTTTGGCTTTACAATATATGAAAATACAGTCTGAGATGAAAGGTGACATCTGTTTGTAGACCAGTGAGGATGTTCCTGTTGCATGTTTGTTTTAAAACCTCCATTGTGCAACCAACCTCCATTAAGCAGCCACTTGGTGGTACCCTGAGGCTAGCCTTTTAACCCTTTCACTGCCAAATGTAGCCAAAGGGAAATTTCCAAATTTCCAAATTTCATTTTGTAAAATTTTGAAAAACAAATAGCACCATGTGAAAGTACTGCTGAAGAGGTTTCATTTAAATCAGGTCACATCATAGGATTTTGTCTGCAGACTCAAAAGTTAGAGTCACCTTACAAAACTCCATCAAACACCTTGGCACTGGAAGGGTTAATGGAAGCAGCGTGCAAAGAAAGTGGTGTCCGATAGCCTGGGGCTAGTGATTTTTGCCTGATGGGCAAGTGATTTTTTTGAGGAATTCGAATAACAGAAGAACTGTGAAATCAATAGGCCATTTGCACAATGGCGTCATTTTACTACTACAACTAGAATCCTTTTCATTTTTCCTTTCATATTTAAATTTTGTAATCCCAGTGAGGTTTAAATAACAAAAGCCCTAATTTGCACAAGAAAGCAAAACCCTGAAGGATTTTGGTCATAGCAGTAAAATGATGTCATAGTGCAAATGGCCTATTCTGCTAGTCAAAAAGTTCTTGGGACTAGTTGAAAGGATGTCTGGCTAGTAAATGCTAGCTTCAGCTTGCCTGAATGGGAAGCTGTAAAAATGATTTTCTTTGCACCGTGGAAATTTAAACTGTATTTTAATTTTGGTGATCTTTTTAACAGGTCTGTTTGCAGTTGGGACACTCAGAATGCTTGTACCTGGAAATGACATTAACGCTCCGTTATTTGGGAGACAGACTGAAGATCAGAGCACCAGCCAAGGCAACGGCTGATGTATAAAGAATGTAAATTGGGTGTACATATTGTACATTTGAATTCTCTTTTTGTGCTTGGTAGCCTGGACCCATTCACTCCTAAAATTGCCTTAAGTGAGGCCTCATGAGATTAAAATTACAACAAGTGACATGGCCTTGAAACTGCGACATAAGACTAGATGAAATGTAACCAATGGCAGAAAGACTGGTTAAATTCCGAGAGGAACATGGCCTTATACTCCTCAAAATGCAAAACAACCGTATTTGAAAGTCAGACTTAAGACATACTAATCCCTCTGAGAGGATCTCTTGAGGGCAAGTAAAGAGAAGCAACCTGTAATATTTTGTGAAACACTGAAGAACAGTTAATGGTAACATGTGAAAGTACTTTTGGAGAAGTTTTTTTGAATTTGTACTTGACAGGATTTTTCTTACATTGCCAAAGTTAATTATTTAATATTACAAGACACATGTATCGAGTGCCTTTAATTTTTAAAGTGGACGGAAAAAATGTGTTTTCCAAACTAATTTTGAGGGCTCCCTTTGGAAACTTGTAATGTTGCCATAGCATTTGCCACCCATCACTTGAAGAAGATAATTTTTCGGTGATGAACAAATTAAATGATGCCCATATTATTATCAGCAGACTTACACTGTCTAAGCATGTCTTTTAAAGGACCTAGTCAGTTAGCTGATGTACATGCACATCAGATACCATTTCGTAGCTGATTTGTGTAATACAAGATATGCCATTCACACTGTTTTTAACCAAGGATGATAAATAATATGATAAAATGAGTAAAAGAAACTAAGGAATAGGTTTTTTAAGAGTAAAAATTGAAAAGATTGAATGAAACACTGGGCAAGATTGAAGCAAATTTCTCCTTGTATTTGATGCACATTTGATTTTGGTTTGAGGTAAATGCTTTTCAAAGTTGCAAAACTAGTGTCCAGGTCAGCTTAGTCCCATAGATGACTGTGTCCCTTTAAAATTGGCAAACCTATTAGAACCATCTTGAATCTTTGACTTAGCCTGTGCGCAGACACTTTAAACCTCCACACTATATGCGATACGTGGGCCGGCTGCACCACAGGCTATCTTTGTCTGAGCTTAAATGCAGATGTTCTTTTTTGCACTCATTATTTATTTTATTTATTTATGTTTGGATTGTGTGACAAGCCCCAAAACTTCTTTTTATGTGGCTAGTAGGAACTTGGAAGGGAACTTGCCTTGAATGTACCATGAATAGTACTTAATATACAGCTGATTTAGTAAAGGTTCAGTTTGGATGTTAGGAATTGCGCGCTGGACAGCTATCGTATGGTGTTCACTTGGGCAAATCATTGCAGTGAGTTTTGTTTGCCCCAATGCCCAAAGCAACCTTTATGCACCTGTCAATGTAAAGCTGGCGAGCACAGCAAGGCAGGGTATGGGGTGGGGATTTGACATTTTTTCGAAAATTTGCCGTCAAATTCCCCGCCTGCCGGCAAATCATTCCAGTCAAATACCCTAAAATTTCCCCACCTCGGGCTACACATTTAACTGTTGTCAAATATCCTAAGGCTAGACCCAAGAAGAGTGCAACAAAAATATCTCGAAAATTATGTAACTCTACAATCTTTATTTGTTAATGTTGCTGCATCACCAAAGATACATTTTCCTGTTAAAATCTGCTGCAGCTCCAATAAGTATTATTAATGCCAAAGCATTTGTTACAGTAAAATTTATTCACCGAATTTTAATAATAGATAAACAAAATTAATTCAGGAAAGTGATGTTGGTTTCACTTAGGTTGTCGAATTTTTCTCCTAAGGGGAGTCCCCACTGTCACGTGCACCACACGCAGTCTACACGCGGTCGAATGAGTGATATGTCCATATGTGGATGTTGCCGGTTCCACCCCGTTATGAAAAGAAAGCGGCCGTGTAAACACTTGCTTGAACTTCAATTCAGTCACCTCTTGACTTGTGTTCCCTGTGTTATTTTTGCGTACAAAATGCTCAAAGCTCTGGGAGATCCTTATTTTGTGGCGAAATTCCAGCGCACTTTCGGTCTGAGAGAGGTTCGGAGCGAAGAAAATGGAAACTCATTGCATGACTTCAAAGACCCCGTGTCTGAGCTTCAATATGGACATGTTGTAGTGAACAACGGATATCAAAGAAATCACGCTCACTCAAGATCTAAAGTTAATGGTCACAGCAGCGGCTTTACCAGAGAGGAAGCGCCGGAAAAACTCACAGTTCCTGGAGAGCAAAAAGTCAAGCAAACCTACGAATTCAACAGCTTCTTTCATGTGATTTTTGCGTTTGGCTCAACTCTAGGCTACGAATCCTTTTACATAACTTTTTTCCCGTTTTTGTTTTGGAACATTGACGAGTATTTAGCGCGGCGAATAGTTTTTATGTGGGCGCTCATTATGTACATTGGTCAGGCTGCGAAGGATGTTATCCAATGGCCCCGACCACCCTGTCCTCCTGTTATTTCTGTGGAGAAACGATTTCAAGTTGAGTATGGCATGCCCAGCACTCATGCAATGGTAGGGACCCTAATCCCTGTCTGCATTGTGTACTTCACTTACGATCGTTACCAGGTATGCACGCATTGTTTCATTATTTGTTTGTTCAATTAGTAGTTTTGGGCATGTACTCTGTAGTTACTCCTAGTTTTGCAACTTAGCGTTTTAATGAGGGAATTTTGGTGTCATGGTTAAATGTCGTCAATAAATCGATGACCTCATCTGTTAATTTTGCAATACATGAGTCACAATTGATTTTAATTACCCTCTCCAAATTTTTCGTGAATTAAAGTGTTCTTTTGTGGAAAGAATTAAGTTCTACATTATCGAGCAAATGTGCACGATTATTTATTTTTTTTCTATGAAAGATTCTTGACATTTGAACATTGAATATGTATGATTTAACTTCCTTCCCCAACCTTTTCACCCCTAAGACCTGGCTCAGACGCCTTGCAGCTCACGTGCTGAACCTAACTGATAAATTAGCGAGGACATACAAGCAGTGCTTGAATCAGGTAGTGTGGCTATAGTTTGTAGGGCTGTGCGCTAGCAGTGTACCATAGGACCTGGCACTTTTTGCTTGAGGGCAACTAGAAAGTCTTCATTTTTACACAAAATCATTTTCTGGGCACCCTGGATTTCACAGATTGAGAGCACTGGGCTCACTACAATTTTTCGTGGAGCACAGCTTTGGTTTGGCATGCAAAGTTAAATTAGGAAGGCAGTCTCATCCCACATTTGAGAAGCCATCTGCACTAGTGTTGCTGCTAAGTGAAATGTCATTGTTAAATGGAATTACACTAAGACTTAGTGTAGTTCCGTTTAACAATGACATTTAGTGATGTATTAATATTGACCCATGCAGGCAAAAGCTGGCTGAAAGACATATTTCAGGGGAAACCTATATCTACAATAAATAATTATTGTAGATTTTGTTTTTTCTGAATATAAAATTTTGCAAGCAGTTCTGGAGGGATCTTATTAATTGAAAGATCAAACCATGGAATTTTCTTCAAGTACTGCAAACTCAGTGCAACATCAGATCTTTTTAATTGGTTCAGGAAATAAAAAAATTAAACATGCCACCACAACACACAAAAGGTCAATAGGCAATATTATCTCTGAAGATTTTTACTTGGTGATCAATGGATTAGTTTTGTGTGAGTGTCAGAGCATGTACCGCTTGTGTCACTGGATCTTATGACACTAATCTTAAAACCAAACAGAATGATCAGAAATAGCTTTTCTTGCAAAGAAGCGTGAGCAAGAACACGCCACAGTGGAGCTGTACGTGTATCTTGACTATATCCAGATTGTATGTCCTCTTTTGACATTAAGTGTCATATAAAAAGTCAGTCAAGGATTTATTTTGTTGTTTTACTCAGTAATAATACCCTGTACTACCAAGGCCCCCTTTGTAGCCCATCCTAAGATGAGATGCATGATCTCCATACTTAAAATTAATATTAAGAGATCTTAACTCAAGGTGCCCTTTAAAATGTAGGGCTTTTCTCTCAAAAATATTGGTTAATTATTGTTAATTGTAGGTTGTCTAAGTAGTTTTCCTCCTTTTGTTTTCATATATGTTGTAGTTTAATTTTATTATTGGTTTGGATTTTTTATTTTCCTTTGCTTTTTAATTT